CAAAACACAGGCTTTCGTATGAACCGTTCAATTTAGCCCCCCCCCCCCCCCCCCCTAAATTGATACTATCAATACTACGCTGGTTTCTGGCCCTGGACTGCCTCTCTGCTAAAAGCAAGACTAAACTCAAGCTCTGCTACGCGAGCTTTCGTGATTATGTCGAATTCACATCGTGCCTGCATCATGGACCCCAGCCCCAGCCCAAGCGGGCTTAAAAGCCGAGACCCGGGCATCCTCACCGGGAAGCACTCGCCTTGGCCACCGACAATCCGTCCGGACTCAAAGGCAGGGACAGCGACCTTCTGCTGCCAAGGCCGCTGCCCTGAAGTCTGGTGGCAGGTGAAGTGTTGGGTTGGATCTTGCGGCAGCAGACTTTCCTCCCAACATGGTGCGGCTCCCCGACTCCCCTCAATCGCACTCGGGGAGCTTTTGTTGAAACGAACCTCATCGTGCAGCGGATGGCAAGACTCCCGTCTACACAACACAGAAGCAACGGCCAGGGAGAATGAGAATGCATGCCACTCGGGCAGGACCTAGTATCCGCAAGCCTACAATGTACTGAACAAGTTAAACGGCCGTACGACGAGAAAGAACCAAACGAACAACCAACATGTAAGCACTGCCAGGTTTTGCACTGCAACTTTGGGATCGGAGCAGCCAGCAGAAACACTTAAGCACTGAAACAACGTTTGGGCCATGGCTGCGAGAACTACAAAGCTCGAAGTGTTACCGAGAGGCCAAACACGCGGTGAATGTTCGGATAGGTTTGCGTGCATGTCTCGATGTAATCAGCTGCCAGCATCGTGCCTCTTTGTTTAGATGAGAAGCTACTTTGTGGCATTTCGGGAATTCCTGTGGCTCCGAAAACAAACAACCAGCTCATTGTTGGGCGCTTGGGATTGCATCGGGAATGACAGGGATGCTTGCAGCGACTTCATCGCCAGAACTCTTCAAACTTCAAAGGCATTGCTGGAGGTCGAAGAATGCCTTTTGCTAGTAAATGCATGTAGTACAACCAACACAGAAAGGTCGGGACCAAACAGGATGCGAATGCTCGAGGTGCTATGGATGTATCTGTGGCACACGCACTTGCAAGTATAAAAAGAAAATATTCGCAGACGTAACCAAGTAGTTGGCCTGCAGCGCGCGCAGGCTTTACCAGAGAGCTATGTGAATAGTGCTTCGAGTCCATCTGTGGTTTGGGTCGCCGTCGGAACAAGATGGTGCTCTTGAGAAAAACCGCCTTCATAGTAGGAATGCTCTTCGGGTGGGCGTACTACCACGTTACGTTCGTTGAGCTTGTGCTTATATCTCCACCCTTGTTAGAAGCCCATGAAATTATTGCCTCCCATGTCTCGAGTCTACACAATGGCAATGCACAATCAGCACAGATATAACTGGCCTCGCTACTGGTTGTGTTCACTGCTTCAAGGAAACTTTGTTATGTCGGGTCTGCGCCTTCTGTGCGCACATGCCCAAGAAGACTGCATGGACACTCACAGCTATTTCTCGAGGGCCTAAACCACCACGAAACACCAAGACATGCTCGGTCTGCTTCCGGATGCGGTGGGTTCGAAGGCAGCGAGCGCTCTCTAAGCCCAAATGCAAACCTTTAGCGCAAAGCACTCGCAGCATGTTTCCAGAAACTCTTCTCCCGCCTGAAACCCTTGCTGCGGAGCGTTCTGCACCCACTCGAACCTTGACACCGCAACTTCGCTGCCAACGGGTTCATACAATTCTCGTACGACATGCCTACAATCCCTTCCTCCTCCTGTGCTTGTTCAAGCACAGAACACTGCAAGCTACAGCCTCATTTTCACATCAGTGCAGCTGCGTGGCTGGATCGCAGCAGAGCCAGTATTTCTGAGGCGAATAGTTCTCGTGCAGGTCCTGATTTCTTGCACGCTTATGCTGGCCGGCAGATGCCGGCAGCCGAACTTTCGGAAGCTCAAGAAGTGACGATGGGGTGCGGACGTCTTGGCATCTGCCTGAAAGTGCAACCGAGCCGGAGTGACCTTCGTCAATCAAGCGAAGAGACGCAGTAACAGAAAGCCGCGGGCGCCGCGGGCAGTAGCACAAGCAGCACATTTTTATTGCCATATTTCGGTATCATGTACACATTGACATTTACAACAGACCCCATGCATACACACATACACGAACATACCAGCATACACTTCCTCCGCTCGTGCCCAATTCGTTCTTTGCGACAACTTAGAAACGAACGCCAGCACATACCAAACATGTTTAATGCAATCTGGGTGGGTGCGCTTCGGCCGGTAGGTACGTAACTACATTGCACTTTGTTGAGCCTTGCTTATCACGTGATGCAAGACAAGCCTGCGACCATCTTCAGATCTGCTAATACCATGACCGACTCTTGCTCGCCTCGGCATTTGGACCTTCAATTGGTGCCTTGGTTCAGTTGATGAGTACCAGGCCGACAGATCGAGACGGCCATCGCTCAAACGTTGACGTACTGAGAATGCTGCCACGAAGGCAGCGCTTGCCAAAGGCTCCTGCAAGATTGCAAATCGCATCTAAATTCCAGAAACGATTGTTTGCTGCTTGAGCTACGAAGCAGAGCAGTTTTATGAGGAGTTCCTGCTCGAGCGGCATGGTGTTGTCAGCAGCGCCCTCTTCCAGCAGAGCTGCCATGAGATCTTCCTCCGCAAAGCCTCTTGCTCAGGTAGGTCCCTGCTGCAACTCCAGAATTCATGTGGCACGCCTGCCTTCTTGCATCTCGGCCTCCAAAGGCCGCAGCGCCTTGACCTGGTGGCCGAGTGGGAACGCAGCAATCACTGGCTGCCGCCACCAGCCTCAGGTTCCATGATCTCGTCATATTCGAGCTGTCCTGGTGCCATCTCCTCGGCAGTCTCACGTGAAAGGTAGATTTCGCCTTCACCCATTCCGCCGCTCTCCTTCATCTTTGCTCCGTACTTCCGGATCCTGGCCAGCAAGTACCTCGGAGCTCTCAGCTCTGCCCCGAGATGCCCTAGACATTTGGCCCATTTTGGCCCAAAACCGGGGAGGGCACTCGTCATCCCGCCAGGATCGAGGCTTCTTCTTGCCACTCTCTTCTGCTGTGTGCCTCCCGCAGAGCGGTGGAAGACACGGCCGGCTGTGCTTGGCTGGTGCCGCCTGGCCGTCGTCAGATCCACGAGCAGGGGCTTCCTGTCACAAAAGCCAAGACACCTTCCCGCCCCACAACGCGCTCACCTAGACTTCCCTAAGCCGCCTGATGATTTCGTGTACAAAGTTCTCCTCGAGGCAACCACGACAAGATGCCGGGCATTGCTGAACCCATTCCTGCTACTCTCTCATTCTTCATGATCTCCTTGTGCAACTTCATGGGCAAGTACAGTCCAGAGAACATATTGCCAACCTGGCACAAGCAGGTGGACAGTTTCAGCGCAGTTCTGTCACAACGATCTCGGCGCAGCAGCTCAGGCACCTGAATGAAGCGTGTCCCCTCTCCGCGGAGAGAATGGTACCAGTTGAAACCTCAAAGAGGTCTCCGGCCCTTCCATGTGCCAGGGCCCGTGTTACACTTGGGAGCCCGGCCGCCGCTCTTGATTTCCTCTGGCGTTGCACGATCCAGCAGCTCCATCACCTGCCCAGGTGCGCCGTACGAAACAGCTTGGAACGCTCCGGCGGCATGGGGTGAAGCAAGCTGTAAGGGCTGATACGCATCCACAGCGGAGAAGGACGATGAATTACTTCGGGAAAGATGCTTCCAGGATCGAGTTGCAGGGAATCCACATCTGCCAGTTGCCGTCTCAGAACCGCCTGTAGCAAAACGAGCTGCTTTTAACTCTTTAACGAATGCCGAACATGTTCTACTGGTTTTAATTGCTGTCAAGTCTCCGTAGTCAAACGACTTTACCTAACCATCCCCACTGCCTCCAGCCGCTCTCTGTACTCCTCTGCCCGTGTCACAACGAGCCTTTTGCAGGGCTAGCGGATGCTAGCGGCTAGCGGCTAGCAACAGCCAACCCGCAGCCCAGAGGACATGAGAGCTGGGTTCCTGACTCTTCCTTGTCCCTGCCGGTCCTGAGCTCTCCAAGCCAGTTTCCGTACACGGCTACCGTGATTCAGACAACCTGAGCTGCGAGCTTGCGAGAAGCGTGATGCCGGAACTTTTCCCACTCTTCTTGCCTCAAGTGCGACATTGTGTCACTCGAAGCCGGGGCCAACGGCAAATCCTTGAAGTCCTGTACCATCCTGTTCCTCTCACGTCCTCCCACGCCCCTGTACCGAGAAGTAGGCTGCTGCGCAAAGCGCTCCAGGGCACGATCGTACCTCCCAAATCCCAAACTTAGCCCGGAACATCCTTGCAAGCACAGGCTGTGCTCGGAGCCTCTTGGCCACTATCTGCTCTTCCAAAGTACGCGTCTTCAGACTCACCGTCTTCCTTTCCTTGGCCTTCACTGACTTGGAATGCTTTGAAGACTTGAAGACACTGCATCACCTATCCGTGCACATGAAGTTGTCATTGACATGTCATGCAATGGGCCTTCGGCGGAAGCACCTAGCATGATTGAAGTTTGATATCTTGGCGCAAAGGCCAGTCATGAGTACAGTGTCACAGGCAGAGACCCATATTTTTGAGTGTTGCACAGTAGGGCCGCCAGGCGAAGATGTGGACATCCGCACGCCACGACCGGGTGGCATCATCTTCGGCGAACTGTTGGCAGGACTCCTGTTCCAAACAAAAATCTATCTGTATAGATATATTCGATGTGAACAGCAGCTGAACCATCTATCTGGACGGGCTTCGAAGTGCATCCAGGGCCGGCACAACTCCGGATCTGGCGCATCAAGCTCCTCCTGGTTGCACGACAGGACATGACAGCAGCCCAGTGGGACCACATGAGAAAGTTTCCTCTGCCAAGTCCACAAACTGCTCTGACTGTGGTGGCAGAGGGTCAGATGGGTCAAGACCCAAATTTTCCATCTTTGCCTGCGTCTAACTCACGGTCACTTCGGACATCCCTTCAACTTGCCCGTTCTGTCAGCGCCTTGTGTCTTTCGTAGGTTGAGGACGACACCTAGGCACAGTGGCGATCAACTCTCAAAGACGCTGCAGCTCATCGGCCTTTCTCTTGATGACCACTCGACGACGTGGCTGTGGCCTGCGAGATCAATCGCGTCGCAAATGTCACGATCCGAATGCATTGGCCTGGACGTCATCTCCGGAGCTCCGGACGGACCTAGGTGCTCGTGCAAACACTTGGAATAGCCCTGCCATGACTCACTGACACTAGTTTATGATCCTTCACGTCCCCTTCCTTGACAAGCCTGGGTCCGCGACGACTCGGACCCTGAGTTGCCAGCACACCATGAGTGACATGCATGATCAGCTTCAATATCCACACCACTGGAGTGCGGATCAGAGAGCCTCCATGGTCTCGGTGTGGTGTTAGGCTTCGGAGAGCATGGCACACTGCGCTGGCTCCACTTTGACTCTTTCCATCTCAGGGGTTACTCGGGTTTTGGCTGCCCTCAGGCCAAGGTAGGCTCAAGTTGAAATCCGACATCACGGCTGGCAGCTTGACGAGCAATAAATGACACTGGCGCCGACCAAATCGAACGACTCACTTCCTGGTGCCTGAACATGCCTGAACAGTTGGGCAAGCTCGAACCTATAGCCCGTCGCCGCTGAAGCTTGTTTTTCCACGCCGGACGCTCTTACACGGCACTCTGCCGCAGCGTCGCCAGCCTGGCAAACTGCTGCGCTATCTCGCAAGACCGATTTGGTAGGTTGCCGAGGCCCCTGCCCACCAACCAAGTTCCTTGTCTGAGCAGCTGTTCGCCAAAGACCCGCTTCCGAGGAGTTGGAGTCCCTGAGGCTGCAAAGGGGTGCTGGTGGGGTGACTCGGTGATCAGCCGCTCCGGCCTTCCGTCAACGTCCAGCATTTGTAGCTGAAGGCTTTCTGCGAAGAAGCCGGAGTCTTGACTTTGCCTCAGTTCCCAATGCGTCAGAGCGGACAGCCTCAGTTGTACCCTAAACCCCAAAAGCGGAAGTCCAACAGTGACCCAATCCCCTAATCCCTATGAGTAAGCGTAAGCATTGTAGGGCATGGGCTCGACTTCTGCGCAGGCCACGCGGAAAGCACCGGCCTCTCGAAAGCCAAAGCCAAGCCAAGCTGTAAAGACACTCCGAGAATCTCCGAGAGGCGTCTGGGTTTAGGCGCTCGGACAAAGCCGGAGTCCTGATCAGCCTACCTCCTGCCATTGATCCCCTTCCCACTTTTATAAAACGCCCCCTCAAACAATAAAAACACATTGGGGCGAAGCCTCCCGAAATCATCCCTGCCCTTTAAAACCTATTCTGAAAAAGGGTGGAGGGTTTCGAGGCTCCAAATACGCTTAGAGCACGGTAAGAGCAAGAGCAAAACCAAGAGCAAGAGCAGGAGTTAGAGCAAAGCAGGAGCAAGAGCAAAAGCGGGAGCATTAGCAAGAAAAGCAGCAAGAGCAAAGCAAAAGCAAGAGCGGGAGTTATAGCAAGAGCAGGAGCAAAAGCGGGGCAACAGCAAGGAGAGCGCAAGAGACGCAGCAGAAGCAGGAGAAAGAGCCAGAGCTGGAGCAAGAGCACGACCCCTCGAAAGTGGCAGTAGAGATAAAAATACCCCTCATGAAAACACGTTCCGAGTTTTTTGTTGGGGGGCGTTTAATATTACATATAGCGGGAAGAGATTAATCAGCCCTCTGCAGATCGCCTGCCGGACAAAGCCAACTGTTGGGCAGCCGCGCGTCTGCCTGCAGTTCCCCACAGGGGTCCTCGACGTGCAAAGCGCAAGCGCGGACAATCTCTGCAGTGGTTCCTCGCCGTTGCCTGGTGCCATCCGACTCCCAGGAAAATCCCACAAAGCACTCCCCAGCTGTGCAGGGAGCTCCCGATGACCACCTCCTACGCGGCACAGCTGGGCGGCGCTGCTTGCACTGAAGACATGTCAACCATGCAGGCGGGCGCACACGCTTTGAAGTTGGGGCAACGATGACGGGAACTGCACAGGTTCGTGAAAAAGGTCCTGTCGACCCAGCACATTCCCGTGCAGCCTGTGCTGATCATGTCTCGCGGTCCGCTGCAACAGCTCCACGCCCTCTATGATGCGAAAAGGCTGCCCCATTAGCACCACCTCGCCTTCAAGGAATCAATCATCATCAAACAGTGCTTCCAAGTCCGGAGACAGGATCTTCGGAACTCAAGTCCCTTGCCTGCTGCTTGGCACGGCCTCTATCAAGGAGTCCTGGCACTGCGTCTACCAGCATGATAGTGTGGTATACTTTCGACTAGACATTAGAACCACAATCTGACTATCTGTATCTGATCAAATGATATGTAAGCAGACATGAGCGCCAAGCATGGGCATGCATTTGCGAGTGTGGAGATGAGCACTTGCCGCAGCTCGGTCCGCGGAGCAATTTTCGGCGAGGTAGAAACGCAAAGCCAACAGATCCCAGGCTTCACCTCAGGTGCCGCTTCTCTCCCTGCAGCCGGCCGTCTCCCTCAGAGCCAGTGGCCAACAGGTGAAGATGCGACGATGCGCCAACCTGGCCAAATGCGTCAAGAAAAGCAGTGGCTGATGATGCTCGCTATTTGCGCGCCATTCACCAAGTGTACTTGCTCAAGGGTCTCCTGCCTCTCTGCCCTTCATACGCCCCTTAGAGAGTGCAACCCTGCGATCCTTGGGAGAGCAAAATTACTTCATACTACTTCTGCTCAACTTCAATCGAACTCAATCGACCCGTCTAGAAAAAAGACGCATCCTACAGCAAGCAGGCCGGGCTTGCTGTGTGATGCAAAGCCCTTTCTGAAGCAGCACATCTGGCAGCTCAATGCCAAAACAGTGCATCATCAGCTGCTCAGGTGTTCATTGCAGGACCATCTGCCTCTGCATCGGACGAGTTACATGCCCCAGCACAGAATGTGCTGTCAGCATCCCATCGTTGCAAGTATCCAGTGGGACACTGCAGACTGGTGCACCTCGGAATTGCCCGCATGGAAAAATGAAGGGAAATGAACCTCGAACCCATGGGCCCCATGGGCCCCATGGACCCTTGAGGGCGCAACGGCATGTCCAGCTCTTGGGTACTGCAATCGGCCCACCATGACATGGACATTAAGCCCGCGAACACCTTAAGCTTCCGTCTTGTAGCTGAACCCCCTCTGACCAAGACACTTCGATGCTCTCTGACCGCTGGGGCTTCGGCATGCCTCTTTTTGAGGCTGCATCGAGCCATGTACATGCCGCTTGCTGCTAGCGGCTAGCGCTGTGTACTCGGATGCTCCGTTGAGGCTGCAGCCTATGTCGAGCTGCTGCCGTCAGGTGCTACAAAGTGTCTACGTTCCATGGTGCTGGAGGCAATGAAAAATGTAATTGGCTGTAATGCAATGTGCTGCAATCAATCAACGCCTGCTCTCCGCCACAACATGGACCAGCATGCAGGGCTGCCGCTATCCCTGGTCTCAAGATCCATTTTTTGTCGACAGTAGAACTTCGAAATTCGCGTAAGTTGTCTTTGTTGTTTCTGTTTCGTCTGCCGGTTTCACTATTAATGTCAGATATCCCCTGGAGGTAAGGAATGAAAGCGAGGGAGTGAAACTTGAAGGACCCACGGTCCCGACACTTGGGCCAAAATGGCAGTAGCCATTTTGGCAGACCGTCTCCTGACATAACTCTCGCAACTCCGCAATGCGATCTTGTGTTTTTCTGATGACCTTCTTCTGCCATCGGATGCCATCGGCGACGGGTTGGCGGGCACACTGTAGAGACGGTAGAGTGTGGAGTTGCTTAGACATTGGTCGACTCCCTCCCAGCAAAAGATGCCAAAAGCAAGCAGTAGTTGGCAGCACAGGCTGTAGTCTAGTGGGCAGGTGCTGAAGCGGACAAGAGATTCCCGTCAAGTCTGCATCCCTTCCTTGATAAGCCGAAATAAACTGCTTGATTTTTTTCGTCCGACGGCTGATTGAATTCCGCGTCCGATGATCGAGATGCCGCTGCTCACGGCGCCTGGACTGGTGACAAAAAGCGAAACACAGGAGAAGGGCATTTGGAAAAGGAACCGGCTCCCGCCTTGCATCTTCTGCGGCACGCGCCTGAGGTTGGACCTACGAATACGCCAATCTATGGTGAGTCCGCACGACGTGCTACAGGCTTCTCCAGACGGCTTCTCAGACTCTGAGCCGTCAGCCAGCGAGCTTGGATCTTTCGAGCGGCCAGTTGCCGCTTTCTTCGCCAGCGTCGAACAAAGAATTGAAGGAGCAGCACCTCCGCAAGTTTGCGAAGCGACTGCGGAGAGAGGGGGCCACTGTGCCAATCCGACAAACTGAGTTTGCAGGCTGCTCGCATCCGACGTTGGGCCATCTCTCGGCGTCGCCTCCATACTTGCTGAACCTGAGGAATTGCCACACAATTCCCAGCAGCCACTTCGTTCCTGCATGGAATTCTTGCGGCCGACCTTGGCAGCGCTCCTCTGCTGCGCTAGTGCATCTGCTTGCCGCGTCGCCTCTCAGGGCGGCTGCTTCGTAGAGCTGGTGACAAGTATTGAAACATGTTGGAAACAGCTTCCAGACCTCCTGCGCGGCGAGAGCCTGCTTCGCTCGAGCCCTCTTTTCGCCTCGGAGCCGTCGGAACACCGCCAGTCGGTGGCTCCGTGCCCCTCGTGCACCCACTGCCGCACCTCGAGCCCGCTCCATCTCGAGGTCACGAAGATGCTGCGCCTTTAGAAGGGGGTGCAACTGGCCACTGGGAAGCTGGGTCCATACATACGTTCACGTCAGCACTGTCCTTTTCGTCTGCACTTGCCTGCTCTTGCAGCTCTGCTTCGAGGACATCTGCTTCTGCTTCTTTGGCCGCAGCCTCATCCCGGAACGGAACCGAGGTTGCAGAACAGCTTCGACTGGGAAAGCCTGCGATTCTGCCCACAGGACCTTGCAGGCTGCATCCTCTGTGCTTTGACATGCTAGATGCAAATGGCTCACAGAAGCCCAAGCTATAAGCTTCCGGCTTGTCGTGACAAGTTGTCCGCATTGGCTCTCAGGGCCTCCAAACACAGCCACGTCCCACGGTGACGGAGAAATTCTGGGACTCTGCATGGGGCACCTCTGCGGAGACGGCTGCCTGTTCTGAGCGTTGCATCGCCTGCAACGAAAATTTGCAGAATCCACGAAGGAACGCTTCGAGCACTGGTTCAGTCACTTGCCTTGCCTTTGACCTGGCCTCGTGTCAGGTGCAGCTACGGCCGCTCTCACGGTCTGAGTTCCGTTTCGAAAGCTGCAAGAGGACAAGGCATCTGAAAGTACATCGCGGACCAGTGGCAGCAGTGCCTGAACAACTGTTCAACAAGGATAAATCGCCGAGCAGGCTGCGACCTTCATGTGACGAGCTCAGTAAGGCCTCGGGCGACAGAGCAGGAGGAGCGGTGCCCAGCAGCTCCTGTCAGTTCAGCTCACACTGCGCCAAGAAGCTCCAAACACAGCCGAGCCCAACATCTGGCTTGCAACCTGTAGTAGCCATGACCTCTCATTCTGACTTAGGACGGGGTCAGTAAAGTGGCCCAACTTCTCCCAAAATTGCTTCTCTGGCCAGGTAGGCACCGTCGACTTGGCGCAAAAACCGGTCTCGCGATGTTGGAAACTGCGAGTGAATCGACAGAGCTGGGCCCAGAACGTGTCACTCAAACATGCAACAATCGGACTGCTCGGATCCTTACAGGCTCGTGGATCCTCGGTCAACATCAGGTGCTCTTCTTGGATGCACGCTCAGCAAGTACCGAGGACTTCTGTGCTGCAGCTGGGAGAATTTGGCTGCAGGCTGGAGCACTAAACGTGCCGACAGGGCTACAAACCCGTGTTGAAGGTTGGTAACGGTGACAGGTGGCATATCACTTTTGCGCTCACCGCTCCCTGCCCCCGACATCTACTTGGGGATCTGGCCCAGTCTGTGAGGATCCGCGAAGCGCCCTTTTTGAATGCTCTTGGCTACAAGATGCTACAAGTATCTCCTTGTCGGCGAAGGGCACATGACACGGGGAGCGAGCAGATGTCCTGCCAGGTCGCGACGGGTGGCGACCATGGGCTTGGCAGACTGGACCTCAAATTCTGTGCTTTGACAGGCAAGTTGTTGTTGGGCTGGACCCGCTGGGCTTGGTACTCCAGAACCTCCAACCTTCCCCTGAGGACTTCGAGCTCAGCTGCAAGAGAGTTGACCTGCACAGCAGGTCAAGGCTGTGTGCACTACGTCAACTGCGCCTCTAGCGTGTCTTGGTGTGCTGATGCGAAGGAACATATCGTATGTCCATTCCTCGGAACTGAGGCTGCGGCCTCTTGCTCGAGCCGGGAAGAGTTGCCTGAATCAGCGGGTCATTCCACTGTTGTCGTCGTTTTTGAGACACGCGGGGTCGAAGAGCGCAAGCGGCTGGACCTGTGCGCAGGTCAGCCGCGAGGTGTCGCCTGGAGCAAATGCCGACGAATGGAAACCATAGCAAAAGACTCAAGACTGACTTCGCCCTCTGTCTCAGCACACTGCAGATGGCCCACAAACGATTGGAGCTCATGATGCTCCTCCACGCAGCAATCTTGTGCATGAGTTTGCCATGATGCTTTCATGTTCGTAGTCGCAGGTCGCAGGCAGTCCTCCGGCAGCCTCGGCATGTTGAGGAAGGCAGCAAGAGACTTCTTCTTGATCCGAAGCTGGAACAAAGACCACTCGGACTCCTTCCCCAGCAAGACACGGAACGTTGCATGGCTGTTTAAAGCCTTACACAAGCAATCTGCCTGTGGATGCTTCTCTTGCCCGAACATGCCTGCAGTTGCATGAAAGCAGCGAATCTGCCGCTGTGCACTGGAGTGTGTTGTTACACGCCTTCTCGTGCCGGAGCAGTTGCGTCTGCAGCCTGGTCATGTGTGCTTGCGAGTGAAGCTTCTATCAACAGTCTTGCAAGCTTGCGAATGTGCACGAGCGTGCCTCGAAGAACCGCGCGACACGCCAACGCTGAGGAAGACCTGAGCCGCATGCACACAAACACATAGACGTGCACATTTGCGAATCCTACCATGTGCGCCTCTCGTGAGATGGGTGTCGGACCCCACTGCACGCCTTGCTTCTCCAGCCAGGACAGCACGGCCTCTAGACTCGCGAATTCGTCCTTCAGGTGTGCACATTCCGTCATGCTCACGATGTCAGCAGCCTAACAGGTCCTGCCCGGCGATGCCTGCACAGAGCTTCTCCAACTCAGCGCCGGGGGACTCCAGAGGCTCCGAAGGCCTAGTGATCCGCTCACATCCCGCTCTGAAATCCTGCTTTTGCATTAGCAGCCATAGCACTGATGGACTCACGGAGCTTTCTGGCGTCAGCGAATCGTGGGGTCGAATGCAGCCAGCTTGGTGGAATCTGCATCTGAAGCCGAGAAGTGAAATGGCGCCAAAAGTTGACAGCAGCTCTTCACACGCAGACAGAACAAGGGCAGTCTGACTCGATGCCAATTAAAGATCACATGTCGGAGACTTAAGGTGAAGAGCGCCGCCAATTTGGAGCAGGGCGCCAGTGATGGAAAAGCAGAGCGTGCACAGGGAGAGAGCGAAAGAGTTAGAGAGAGTGAGAGAAAGAGAGTCAGGATGACAGAGAGGCAGCTTGCACAAAACGCGAATTCTGTTCCGCAGTGGAACTGCCTAATCCAATGCCGAATCTGACTCGGCCAGGCAAGCTTGGAGAGCAAATGATTTTTGTGACTGAGCAGTTTGTTCGGTCTGGACTTCTCGCAGAGCCTCTTCCCAAAAGGGTCCTCAGAGATTTATGGAGATTCTACGAGTAACAGCTGCTTTGAAACTCTGCTGGTTTTGTCGAGGAACGATCTTCAGGTGCAACTTTCGCTCCGGCCCGACTTAAGCAGCGGATCATGTCAAAGCGCCCCTCGCTTGCGGCCCAAAGAAGAGCCGTCCATCCATGCTGGTCCTGCGCGCGCGATCTGGCAATGCTTTGAGAAGCTCTTGCACGTCTGATGCGATGTCCTTGAGCTCGAGCTTTGCCCGTGCTCCCAGAAGCAACTGCAATGCGGCGGTGGTTCCGCAAGCCGCTGTGAGCATGAGGGGCGTCAAGCCATCTGCAGAAGTGTGGTTTACATCCGCTCCTTGGCTTACGGCGAAATGCAAGCATGCCGAGGCTCTGTTCCATGCGCTCTAGTGCGCATCAGTTCATTGGGGCCGCGACGTCTCTCCAAGAGCAGCTTGAGAGCATGCAGTTTGGACTCTTCGACCTCGTTCTCCCTGATAGGATCGTTCAAAATGTCGAGGTCACTGGAGAGGGTGTGCATCAGCACTGTAAATCCATTGTCGTCTTCGATGTTCACAGAGGCTCTGGCATCCAGCAAGAGTTTCATCACTCCAGACGAGCTCTGGCACTTTGAGGGCGGATACACTGATGAGCATGCAGCCCACATCAGAGCAGTCATGCCCATGTCGTCTTGTAGATCTAGACGACTGCTTCCCAACAGTTCTTCCACATCAGACACCAAGCCGGCCATGGCTGCCTGCATTAGTGGGGTTCGCCCAACCACCTTGTTCGCAGAGACACGAGTCCTGTTCCGCAGGTTGTAGCTTGAAAGTGACTGCACATAGTTCCATCGGCTGGACTGAGATCCCAAAGCCATGGACATTGAGCTTGAAGGCGGCTGCTGAGCAGGCCCATCTGCGCCAAGAACCTTTGCATCACGGGCCACGGGACCCGCCAAATGGGAGCTTGTGTCTTCTTTACCTTGGATTTCAATCAACATCTGGCCAGCTATCCTGTCGAAAGCCATCTACTGCATCACTGCTTGCTTTGCCAAGGTTCTTGTCGTCGGGTAGGGCGTGAAGGTGGATGCCTTGCTGTCGGAGGCCTTGGTGGGTGGGCCCTGCTGGAGCACTGAAGCCAGCGGCTCTATCGGAGCCTTCTGCGCAGCCTGTGCAGCGGCTGCTCTCATCAATGAAGGAGCCGAAAGGTCGGATGTCTCCAGATTCTCAGGGCCATCCCAATCAGTAGTCACCTCCATGTCCTCATCTGGTTCAGGAGCCATTTGTGGAAGGAGTTTTGTGTTTTTCGCCTCCTCTTTCTTCACAACAGGCTGGCTCGTCGCTGGCAGACTTGCAACAGGCGCAGAAACGGCATTTCGTCGGGAAGTCGGGAATCGAAATCCCGTTCCGGACGTGTACCGCGTGGCCTCTACTGCTGCTCGTGCCACCTGGGCAGTCTCATCCTCACATGGCTTCCCCAGCAACAACATCTATGGTCTACGATTCTCTGGCAAGCCAGAGAACATAGAACAACCCCAGGTCTTGAGAGCTCAATGGCTCAGCACCGGAGATCGTGGGTACTCGACTTCTCTTCGAAATATGTCTCCACCACAAAGACCGGGTGAGGGACTGTAGATGATCTGCAACTTGCTCGAGCAGCAGACTGGCCTTAGGGCACTCCTGCATTTTCTCCTTGGCTTCAGGCGCCCCAAACCGGGCGGCTCAGGACTGGGCCTCGAGATGCGGCCTCGGCTCAAAGGCGAGGCTTCAGCGAAGCGCTCTGCACTGCCGAGAAGAGAGGCGCCTCGTCTCGAGGGCTTTGGACGGGAGCTCGGCTTCGGGCGCCTGACTGAAAGGCCGTTGTTTCCATGTGCCTCAAACGTCCTGATTCGGCTGCCTTCCAGAGGGGAAACGCTGCACCGCCCGGCATAGCTTCGGGCCTCGTCTGAACCGGCTCTCTTTTACAGGAGGGCCAATTCATCTCTTATTGTGGAGACTGGTCTGTTTGACGGCTGCGGCTGCTGCATGATGATGGTAAAGGTTGCCGGCAGTCCAGCACCATCAGGAGGGACCTGTATGCAGGGAGCTCCGACCTCTTGCTCCCTGAGCCTGCAAGCGCACTCTTTCACACAGGCGGCTGTTGGCCGGAAGTAGGCGTCCACCGACACGAACCTGTGCGAATGCTTCTGCTGATGTGTGCCTACAACATCTGAACGGCAAATCGCCATCAGGCCTCCGTTTCGACCAGAAGCGGATCCTGGCGAGATAGGCAAGAACGCAGCAGCCTCGACAGGGAAGTCAGACTGGTGACTGGAGTGTGTTTTTGTTCACCATCATTGCAGCTCTCTGGCGCTGCATGCTGCATTTGCAGAACTGAGCGTTCGGCTGACAGTCGGACTCACCTAGTCTCAGTGGTCGGCAAGTTCAATAGCGACCAGACTCAAGTGACTCAATTCTGTTTGTATAAGAAGCGCACTGAACAGCTGCACGGTCATGATCGCTTGCTGAGGCGCGTGAGTCCAGGAAAGCTTTGCCCCCGGCAACACCTTCACAGGGCAGATGATGTACAGTCAAGCAGTCATACGCAGTCTGCCCTCGGACTTGCACAAACTCCCAACCTCACGAACCAAAGCTGCATGCTCCGCCAGCACAGCCTCGCACTATGACCGGAACAGCCAAAGCAGCTTTTCTGAACCGAACCGAACCGAAAGAAGAACCGCCGAACCGAAACCGAGTCAAAACCCATCCAGGAAACCGAAACGGACCGAAACGAAACGCGGTTTTACTGCAAATAAAGGCTGCAAAGGGTCCCTGCTTCGATGCCTCCTGAGAGTTGAGGTGCTCGCGGAACCGCTCTAACCTCGGGCAGGAATGGGGGCGTAGGTGGGGGCGAGCCACATGCCACCCCTGTGCCCTGCACTCTGCGCTCAGCTTCACTTCTTCTCGTTTCAGCGGCTCCCACTCCTGGTGTCCAGGACGGTGTGCCCCGGTTGCAGACGTCATTCCGAGATGCAGTGCGGTCCTCCCAAACCTCTTCAAGGGTGGGCTGCATTGAGGGCTTCGTTTTGTCCTGAGGGACAGCCTGGCAAGAATGGCGTCTTCTCCAACGACCCGTCACAGAAGCATCAGCCTCTTCGCGAATCCGCAGGTGGGATCTGTCCCTGTGCTCCGGTAACTCCTTCGTGCCTGCCACTTCTACCAGCACGAAGCACCAAAACGGACCTAGCCTATCAGCAAACGGGGATGACGCGGGCCCTCCTCGCCTGAGTAGACTCTAGGTTCCTCGGAGCTGTCTGGCACTCGGATGAAGCGCAGGCTACAGAAAGGACTCACAGTCAAATCTAAGCCGGTCACATAGTCGGCACCATAGAACGGAGCAAAAGCTTCTGCTCTCCGACGATCAAACAGGTGAGATGCCTCATCAGCTGAATGCCCGAGACAGCTGTATAAATGCCTGTTCCGGCCACTTTCAGGGGTCGACAGTCCTCCGCTTCTCCACGGCCTTCCGGGTTGCTTCTTGTCTCCAGAGACTCCAGCCCCATCAGCACCCTCTAGCTCTCCTTGTTGACTTCTCCAACAATTCTCTGGGGGCCGGTCTTGCCTGACCAGGGCAGGTCGCTCCCGGAGGCTGTCGAGGCTCTAAGGGCTGAGTCCCGAGCCATTGACCTCCATGCGCCCCTGCGAACGCTCACTGAACTCTGGCGGCATGTGCCATGCGAGGCTGTGGCAGCCTTGTACATCTCCTGCACTGAATCGAAATGCCTCTTTCGGACGTCTGCCAGACCTTACGAACACAGTAAGAAACTACAAGTAGCACGTCCACATGTTGACTGGACTAGATACTTGATACAGCGGTGCCGTCCTGGAGCCGGAAACTCAGAGGAGTGCTGGTGCTGACTGTCCAGCCCTTCGCAGGGGCAGGCACAAGCATCTTCCTGGCTGGAGGCTGCATCTCTTAGAAAAGTTGCCATGCGACTAGGAATGAATAAGGGTGCGTGCACAAAGCTCACGCACGGTCGCTCAAATACATGCAGCGCAGGCCCTATCTTGTGCATGAGTCCATTGCTGCAAGCGATGTCGCCCCGGAGCTCCACAGGCCGACTTAGAATCGCACAGGGAAGTGAGAATGGGCAGACTCTAAGATCCTCCAAGGCTCCAAGCCCGGCGCTCTCCGGAGCTGACCAGCTTTGCTGCAACCCGACGCTCCCCGGTGGGCCTCCAGACATCTCGGGGAAAAAAACAGGACACTGACGCTGGAGAGCTCTCTTGCACAGGGCCATCCACATGCGACGGTGCGTTTACGCCATGCTCCCCAGAGCCCCAGGGACCAGACAGAAATGCAAGCTGCATGCTTTTTCCACGCAGTGTCTCCTGTCAAAACGGACCGCTGAATGGCTCCATGGTGCTTCTTCGGAAGGCTCGGTGGTTTGCTTCATCGCAGAGTTGTTGGCCGTCCAGCGGAGTCCCCAGCATTCGAAGTTGCGCAAGCGGCCAGTCATCTTCCACCTCGGCATTGAGGTGTCGGGACGCTACAAGCGAGATCCCGGAGTATTGACAAGTTTCAGGCAGCATGCCCTGCCAAGAGCTCAGCCGCCTGCTGGGCACTACCGTATAGTGAACTGTAGACATCTGTAGACTGCACTTCCTGAACTGGCCTCTGGCATCTTACAGAAGACCTCGGCCGTCATTCCCTTGGCCTTCGAAAGATGTCGTGCTCATGAAAGCAGCTGATGAAGGCTTCAGTGGAAAGACGACCTGGAGACACAGACATGACATGACGTTGCCCTGGGAGTGCTCTGTTGCCAAGCTTTCGCTTTCACATGACTGCAACCAGAGATTGACAGAGCCGGAGTGGGGGCAGGTTCCATGAACTCACGGCGCGGACTGTGAGTCTAGGTGGGGGGACATTTGGTCAGCATCGAGACACATCAAGTCCCAAACCTTGACGAGCTTCTCGACAGCTGCGTTGACCGGAACCAGCAACGTCACGTGTCTGCCTTGACCTCAAAACGTCGAAGCCGTGGGCTGTACTCACCATGTCAGAACAGGTGCAGCAGTGCCTGCCAAGCGTTGACGCAGCTCGTGACAACGTGTGCCAGGCCTTGGCACACGCAAAAAGATGCACGTCTGACCTGGAGCGAACTCCAATGTGCATGGGTCTTTCTGCAAGCAAAGCTTCCGTGCATTGGCAATGATTGCGCGTGCGTGGGACAGCTCGCTGTCCTTGCCAGGGCAAGGGTTCCTTTTGCATCTCTGCATGCAAGGACCGGCAATGTGCTCAAACTTGGTGGGGAATGGAGGGGATCGCAAGACGAGGACGGGGAAAACAGAGGCGTGGCCTCGGCGAGGCGTTCCAGAAGGCTTCGCTGGGCAGAGCCACTCATGGCCCTTCATCCGGGAGTTACACTGATGCCCATGAGGTGTGAGCCTGACGGTGTGGGCAATGAGCTTAGTCCTGGAGTCCTAGACTTCGAGTCCATCTCATTAGTTGTTTGGGAAAGACAAGCTGAAGCAAGCATAGCTTCAGGCCAGTGACTCTGTCTATGTCTGCCCTATAATGCATGCATGCCTCGAATTAGTGCGTGCAAAGCTTGAGAGCCAAGGTGTAGACAGCAAGATACTTGCAATCCGGACTTTGTTGATGTTATGCTGCAGCACGAACAGTGCAGACTCCGCAAGCTGTCACTTGCATAGATGCATTTGAAAGACGCAGCGGCTGAACTACTCTGCAAATGTGTAAAAATTGAAGGCATCCGAGGGCACAGTAAGCCTGCATCAGCATGCAGCATATCCGCACATCACCAGCATAAATCACCTTTTCCTTGTCAGGCTGCTGCTGGTCGTTTCTTGGCTGTTCGCGGCCGCTTCGTGCCAGAGCTGTACCTGTACTTGTGAGCAAGAAAAAACACGCAGGCAAATCAAATCATGGCTTCCACAACCCTTACTTCGACTCCCCGGCTCCAGCCACTTGTGAGGCAAAGCAAACTCCCAACAGAGCGCGGTTGCAAACCAGAACATGATGGTGGTGTTCGACGGCAGCTCGTGTGGCTTCAGACTCCCGGCCTCTCTTCCAGCTGCGCCAGAAAGCCTTGAGACCTCTCCTGGTATGGAAGAACCAACACCGATTCTGCAACTTTACGGAAGAGATTGGGCAGATTTTCAAGACGTCAGCTTGTCGCACAGCTTTCATCCCGCACACCGGGCTGGCGAATGAATATGGGCTGGCGGCAGGTGAAGCAGAGCCGTTGTTCTTTTCCCAGGTGCCCATCCCCAAAGCTGGAACTTCATTGCAGACCTCGTCGCCACCTTGTGGGCACCAGCGGTGCTGCATGCTGAAGTACTCTGTGGCCACACACTCCAAGGAGTGCCCCTTGACTTTCAAAGCGCTGCACAATGCTCGCACTACGGCCTCTGATTCTCACGGAATGTCTACGTCTCATTTTCGAAGGAAGTCTGGTCCTCACTTCCTCCTCACTCAAGGATCGGATATTTCACTTCAGGTTTTTTTGAGGGTCTGTTTCCGTCCCGATAAGCGCAGAATGCGAAATCCCATTCCTCCCTGGCCCGTCAAGTCCGCATAAACCAATGCTTTTTTTCAGAACATCGTGGATTGCAGCACGGAGAGTGGTCAAGGACGTAGGCACCGGTGACTTTTTGCAACTGCCCATACCACGAAATCCTGTCTTTGAAGTGTTCAAAGCTTGCACAAAATCTGCCAGTCGGAACTACAGTATGTGCGAGGAAAAGTTCGCAAAACATTGAGAAAGTGTGTGCAGCATTGAGTCCAGACATGCTGTGGTCAGCTAGGACAGGAACCGGAGAAAGACCAGTTTGCAGGTGGCACATGCAAGGTGCACATGGTGGGTCTCATGAAGCTGTTCCGGTGCCAGGTCGAGACCAGTTGAAAAACATAAAAATGATTGATGGTAGACTGACGCAAAGAGCACAGGCTGTGTGGGCTCGATGGAAGTAGAGGCTTGGTTGAACATTCCGACAGCAGCAAGCCTACGCCTACCTGTGGCATGAACAAGTTGCTCCTGACGAGAACGGATGGCGCTCGCCAATTCACCTTGTGAGCTGCCAAGCACCGTATCAACAACATAACATCGAACAACAAAGGCCAAGGCTGATTCCGCGCTCCGGTGCTGCTGTCCGCTTGGCCTCTGCGGTCGACAGTAGGCACCTCTAGGACTCTTTTGTAAAACTTTCAAGCACCCAATCCTCCGAAGCCTCCTTGGCCGCCTTGCGTTGCCTCGCCGAGTCTTTCAATCAAGTGCTGACCCTGCCATTTAAGATTGGCGCCAAGACGAGCCTCTTCTTCGCCTGGGCAGAACCTTTGCCCTTGGCACGGTCCGGTGCAATCCTAAAGTCGAACCCCGAACAGACCTTTCCGGACATAGCCTCCGCCAATGCATAGTAGAAGAAACCGCCAAGCTATTAGATGGCACTTGCAGCCGTTGAGGTGGCGAATCGACATCAGAGCTTGGGGCACACGGGCACACGTCGCCGGGGTGGCGCAGATAGGCTCAAGAGATGCCGTCGCGTTAGGCGAAAGCAAACAAAAGCCGCGAAACCATGAAGATGCGCATGAAACCGCTTTATTTTCGAAACCCTCCTACTGGATCTACTGCGTTCTTTTCCCATCTGCGTTTCTGACAATGACCATGCAAAGGTGCTTTTTGAACGTGTTCGCTGCGTTCTCGCAGTGCTTTCGGGGGGACGGCGGGTGCGGGTAAGGAGAACCGTCCCTCTGTATGTTCAGCTTGCCAAATTCTGGTGTGGTCGCTCCATGCTCCATGACTGTCTTGCACAAGCAGGCTAAGCCCGTCCATGCCGACCTCCGTCCCTGTCACTGCTTTTCAAGGATGATTCAGGATAAAGGGCCGTGAATTCTGCTGGGAATCCGCTCGCAGAGCACGCAGAACCTCATGAGCTAGGGCTAAAATGCGCTTAACAGATGATGGGAATCTTCGAACCTTGGTGGATAAAAGCTTCGTGATCGCGATTTGGAAACTGCGACTACTGTTCTGTGAGGAAGGCTGAGGATGACTACGGCTCAACGGCTCAAATCAGCGACCGAGATCACCAAAGCAGCCGCGATCTGATTCGGTGATCTGAGCCGTCTCTCTCGTCTTGTTGGTACACTGTCCGAAGGGTGAGGTCTTGGCCGATCTTGCGAGACCAGGCAACCGATCCACCTGAATCTTAAAATCCACGATGACATCCTCGTGCGGACTTGGCCACTTGGCCTCTCCAGATGCGATGGCAGCAACGACCTGGTCGGAGAACTCGTGGAAACTTGTTCGGACAACACTTTGTTTGCGCGGCCATGTCTTCGAATCGCGCTGCATCCCCTTCGTTTGCAAGCCTTGGCAGAACGGGAACGTGAACATGGGAACGGCCTCCCGGAATGTGCTCCATAAACAAAACCGAACCTTAGCCTCAAGCATCACATTGTCCACAATGTAGCCAATATCCCCGCTTCCCTCAATGTACGCACCTGTCTGCAGAATCGCTGAAGCTTGCTGTAGCTTTCCGGTTTGCGAGCTTTGTTCTGAGGCACGGTCGGAGTACGTCCTTTCTCTCCTCGCTGGAGCCAACCTTTTAGAAACGCAGCAGCACGCTGCAAAGCACTGTACTGCAACCAATGCAACAAACGCACGTACTGCTTCTCGAACTCGCTGATGCGCTCCTTCGTAACCTCCACACTACGTCATAACAGAGTGATAGCTTTTTGCTAATCTGCAGCTGACGACTTAGTCACGGACTGGCTTGAAAAGCTGTGTGAAATAAGTGCGCCTGGCACGACATAGTGCACCATGGGACACCGACAGTACACCATCGGGACAGATCAAGCAGCTGAGTACACGACCAATCCGTTTCCAGCCTTGCAGTCTGGCATCTGTCCGTGCCATGTATTTTTTGGCGTTCTGCCTGTTTGCCACCGTCCCCACAACTTGGTCTCGAACCCCTCTTGGCTTGGGTAGCAACCAGTCGCGTCCTTCGAGAATTGTACAGATGACACGACATGATCATGTGGAGTTTCATGACAAATCTTATCAGTAACTGTCATACAAGGCCACGGAGCAGCGGACCGAAATCGCAAGTCTCGCAGAACCGCTTGCCGCCGCGCGGCGTATTCGGCTCGCAGGTCAGGGTCGCTTAGAATGTGATGCCTTCGGTTGATACTTGAATCGTCTGGTCACGAATAGAACAAGCCGTCGTAGGGTTCCGACACCTCGCCAAGGGCTTGAAACCTCTGCGTGGCATCTTTGCAACCTCAGCTAGATGGGCGGCTCCGCGCACTGCGGTGCTGCAAAGACTTCCATCACGAAATCAGAAAATTTAGGTGCTAGCCCTGATTTTTGTCTGGATGCCATCTCAGTGCAGCCTTGTAGTACCTGCATTGGCTGCACTCTGACATACCTCTGTTAAAAATGTCCAACTGTCCATGCAAAGGTCAACAGCGAGCTGCGCGGGCCCCTTTCGGATCTGAGCAGGACTCGCATCGTTGGAAACGCCGAGCCTGAGCGGCGAGCCCCAGCCCTCTTGCCGCCGCGACGACTTTCAAGCTGTTGAGGTTGAGGATATCTGAGGGTGGTACAAGTCGTACAGGTTTGCCGACTCCTGGTTGCAAGCAACGAGCCGTTCTGCTTCTGTGGCTTTGTGTGAGCAGCTGTCCTTTCCAAACGCCGCATGTATCAAATCAGATGCCATCTTTCCCAGGCAGGAACTCCCAAGTTGCTTGCACGATGCCGCCCATGCAAATCTTCTCACATGTTTCGGCTTTGCACATGTTGAGGTTGGCGGGGTTCTAAGCAGCTCACGGATGGTCCGATTGGGCGAGGCGCCCAGGGCGAATACTTCAGGTCAGGATTTGGATCTTGCAGTCAGGCTACGCCACACTCCTCTAAGTGACTAGACTTTGTGCGGAGCAGTTGCACGCAAGGATCTTCCGTTGGGCCGAAGGTATGAAGCAGGATCTTGCTCACAGTTTCGTGTCAGTGCCTTATCCTGGCCAGAAGGCAGCGAAGCTCGAAAAAATCGTTTGCAGAAGCTCAAACTTCAGCTCCATCATGCGGGCTCAGACACGCGAATGTGGACATAAGCCTGAGTCACTCGCTACCCCGTCATATTTTCTAAGCCTTGTAGCTCAGCAGGACATTGCCTGGTGAATTGAAGCATTGTCACGAGTTGCAGTGATGCCCGGTTTGGCACTTCAAGACTTCGCCCACTATGTACAAGCTTTCCTTCCCCATGTCACTATGCCTGGCAGAAAGCATTACCAAGAAAGCCTTGCATGCTGCGATATGCTGCGAGTACCTACGTCCTGGGCCCCAGACTCTGAGTCTGAGAGTCCCGGCCTACTCTGCCTGGTCGAGATCCACACGAAAGTCAGTCTGTGGAATTCCAACTTTTTCGGATGTCCGCGCCTTTACGAATCGAACATAGATCTTTCCGGCCGGAACCTTATCCATGCAACGCAAGATAAAAATAATACCATGATTTTGCATCGTGTTGAACCCGCATACATGCACAGCGTAAAGGCTTAGCGGCTGTCTAGATGATTAAAGATTTTGTACTGAAGTTTCGGCCTAAGGAGCTCCAAATTCGTACGAGCCAGTATGCCCCCACTCTTTCCGAAAGTCCCCTGCCCGATTGGCGAGAGCTTGGACGCGTTTCCAGCTGATGTAGTGCCAGCTCATGTAGTGAAGCCTGCTGCTCCGCAGTGGAACCTGCTCTTCCTCCTCCGCTGTCCCGACGAGTAGGAGTGCTTTTCCCCGACAAGCAACGATTCTGCTTGTGTGCCGCATATACATGTATGACGATGGTGTCCTCCTAGAGTTGTGTATCTTGTTCTTCTGCGCATGCAAGCCGTGCCGTTTGGTGAGGTGAAAGAATTGGGTGTGTGTGTGTGTGCAAAAGGGGATGTACCGCAGCCGGGAGACTGCATGAAGCTGCACATAGCAAAACGAAACAAGCAAATATAGCTTGCACTTGTGCTCGGCATTGAGGCCCCGCAAGATAAATTTACTAGCGTGTGTCAGCTGCTGCAATAACGGCGAAACAGGAGGATCTGCATGATCTGATGGATGGTCAACTTCTCCCTCATGTTTCGTCTGATGTCTGTCGCGGATGCCTCCTGGGGTTCCGGAGCATTCAACACCTCAATAACTAGCCCCCGTGCTGCCAGCGTTCTGCTCTTGTCTCGCCCCCTGCAGAGGGGAGGAGGCCCCGGATCTTTTCGGCTTCGCACGTCAATTAATGTCACTCGTCTGCCCCACATATTGACCTGCGAGAGACGAGCACAACTTGTCCTAGGTGACAGTGGTACGGTGCTGCAGGGGTTGCTGAAGCTTCAGAAGCCGCAGCAAAGCTACTGCCAGGTACGTTTCCATCTGATGTCTGTGCCTTTACCAATATGAACAGGCAACTCAAGCTCCTGACCAAGTCCAATTCCTTGAAGTTCTCTCGTGCCCAAACCTTGATGGGTTGTGACAAGACGCTGCATGCCAAATGATTTCTGCAAAAAGCATCCAGCTGCTGGATCAGCTTTGCTGCCCCAGCCAATGGGCCTGAGAGCTGCCCAAACCATTCCAGCACCCTACATGGTTTCGGCTGACGCTTGTTCGCTTCTTTGCCTGCCAGAGCCAAGATCTTTCGACGCGGGCTCCTCCAGCTTGCTCACCTGCCGACAGCAGAGTTCAGAGACGTCCCACAAGGCGAGGCCCCTGGCCTGCTCCGCACCCAACTGCAACTGCACGATTTCAGAGGCCCCGATAACTTCCTCCATGAATTGATCGTGGGATCGTGCTCAGCCAGTGAGGTGGGTGGATCCATGACACAGACATAGCATGACACGAATGTGAGACAACCTGAAGATGCGAATCGGGTGGACTACGTCACACGGTCCCACAGGCCTGGCTTTTGATGCTCAGCGTCAATCTGTGTTGCGAATCGTACGGGTCGAAGTTGAGCTGGAGGGTTTCCTGCCGTTGTGTACTCCACGTGATTCTGCTGTACTCTGTCAACGAGCTCGGGCCCGGCTCAGTACGATCCTTGAAAACGCAGGAGTGCCCCGCTCGCTGATGCACCTGGAGAACTACTGTAGAAGCTGCTCTGCAATCAGTCCCTTCAAGATCGTCTCCAAAGTCCGGCCCTTGTTTTCATGGTCATGTTGTAGCCCAGTGAGACCTTGGGTGAGGTTGGCGGAAGAAACGAAGGCGGTGCGATGGTTTGAACTTGATTTCATGCTCAGGTCACAACTTCGCAAAAGACATCGTTGAGCGAGTGTAGACGAGCAGAAGGAAGCCCTTCGACCTCCAGACAATGGCAAAGGGAAGACGTTTTGAAACCGCTCCAAGTCCCGTCGCCTTCCAGATGAACATTTCTACTGGGTGAAAGCGCTTCATGGACCTGAGATACGAAACAGCACAGACTTAGGCAGGAAACGTCCTGAAGCCACACGAAGCAGTAGAGAAATGATGCCCTCTCAGAACCAGGCCAGCAGGTGGCCCAGTCACGGAAATCGCCGAAGACTGAGGCTGCATTCTCCACACCCAGGACCTCTCCAACTTCGCACGTGGCTGAACCCATGAAGTGTAAACTGAAAATGCTGTGCATCTTCGCGTTGCAGACTTGCACCACAAATTGATCGCAGGCATGCCAGAATTGGTGGAACCTCGAAAACGCGATCTTTGAACCTTAGCTTCACCGGAGGCGCCCAAACATCCTCCTGCAGTTTCGGGAAGCCGGCTTCCACACCACCGCAATCGCAACGAGCGCGGCGATGCCCACAAGGATCTGCCAAGGTGCTCGCTAGAGGATGCCAGAGCAAACAGGAGTGCTCTGTGCCTGCTCGGTCTTCTCGACGGCATCCTCGAATCCATTGACCATAGCAAAGAAGAGGTCGTTGAAGGTGATGGACTTTAGCCTGGTGTGCAACCAATGGCAACGCGGTTTAACGGTTCTTGTCATCTCCATGTAACACCGGAGCTTTTCAAGAGTACCAACCAGGCCAAGCAAACGCATGCAACGTGACCGCTAGGAGAAGCAGGTTCAACACTGTGATGACGGGGTAGACCTGCATGGAGAGTCTGTCTAGCGGCTAGCAGCCAGCAGATACGACTGCCAGCAGGTGGAGATAGGTGGAGTCCAGAGCACCTGGCCTTGTGAAGCCTGGTCTCACAGCAATATCGGAAGGGCCTGACAGATCCAAACGCTTGTGACTAACAGAACTAGCACATCGCATCTGATACGATACCTCAAGAGAGGCACCGTCCACAGCATCACCATGAGGCTGATCACCAACACAAGCACAATCTCCTGCACACGGAGCAGTGAATGAACTTCCTGCTCTTTCCATCTTTCCCGAAGTTTCCAGGAGTCCTGCCTCGCCTCGGCAACGGATCCTTGCACTTTTGTGCCGGCCAGCGCTACAGGCGCCACAGTCGTGTGTCGGAGTTCAGGTCGGAGCATCTTAGCTGCGCCACAGCTCCAACATGTCTTTTAGGCCGCCCGGCTGCCCTGGTTTAAGGACCAAGGGCCAGCCTTCCGCAGACGTTTGATCTCTGCCTGCAGCTCGGCAACGCTTGCCTAGCGAGGCGAGAGTGAGCAACGGCCGCTTCTGTCGACCCCGTGCTTCCAGAAAAAGCCTCTGGTCGAGGCTCGGGGCAAAGATCCAACAAAATCAGTGCACATCAGCAGAGGGCTTCACTACTCGCAAGCAAGAGCTGCCGGCTATGCTGCATGCGAGCACTTCGAAGAGGTTGACATTTGCTTTTGAGTTGTTCTTGCCCTTGTCTTCGGCTCTTGGGGCGGGGGAGGGCAGGAGCGCTCGTAGCCGGCGCGCAGCTGGGCTTGAGACGGCTTTAGGGCTTGCCAGGTTCGTTTGCTTGCTGTTCGTTGTGTCTTTCTTGATTAGATTAAACTCCGCACGAAGATGAGCACGGAATTAATGCTAGAAGAACAGCCAGTTTCTACCTCGCTAAGAATATAAGACGTTACAGCTACATCCAGCATTTCTTTCCGAAGTCCCCTCCTGAATTTAACTGCGGCCTCTCCACTTACTACGACGTGTCTCGAAAGCAGTCAGGCCTCTCGCAGTCCATCTCCCGAAAAATGGCCGTAGCCACCATCGTCCTTCGACACAAAGGTTCTGAAACTTCACAGACTCGAAAGGCGAGTGCAAAATTCAACACCTGCCTCGTCCATCGACTTCAAGACTAAACCGTCTGTGTAGAGCGAACACAATGCTAGAGTAAACGTGTGGCTGCCTGGTTGTACCGTTGCTTTTGGTCCCTGCAGGCCCTATTGGAGTCAGATGCGCTGACTTCTGCCTGTACCTATGCTATGGAGACGAAACTCGAACGATGTAGGACCGGCTGGGTGTTGCAAACGACTTTATCACTTCGCCGCGTTGCAATGGCCAAAAGACAGCGTGACACGGTGTGGCAAACCTGCTCGGGCCATGTAGCTCGGCGAAGCTTGAATAAACCCTCTAGCTTAAGCTCGCAGCAAGTCAGGTGCTGATCATCATCAGCATTGGACACTTAAATCAACATTTGGACACTTGAAGATGATGTGAGACTCCCATGCCGTTTCCCGTTTCTGCCCTCACCTCTGTGAAGCTTCTCTGGCAGAAAGTCGCAATATCCAGCGGATTAGCGCCCGATTGTTTCAGGCGTACCCTGCCACCTGCGAAATCTATGTGCTGTGCACATGCGCTGTGGCAAGGCCTGTGAAGAAATAAGAACTATTTCACAAATCTGCCTCTTTCTGGCAAAAATGTTCCAGCACCAAAGACCTAGGCCTTGTGCGCGACAATGAGCTTGGTCATGCCTCAGGCAGTCCGACACAACTCTTGAAGACGAAACGACAGCCGGGAGGAGCCAGGACATTCAACGACTTCGGGGGAGGCGCCGTGGATCATCTCGTGGGTTTGGCACTTGTTCTCCTCGAATCCTGCTTGAGCCATGCGCCGGATGACCTTGTCGGAAGAACACACCTAACGTCGCTTGCTCTGCAGGAGAAGTGGGGGGGCGCCTCTGCCGGGCAGAGCCCAAGCCCCTGCGCGTTCACGGTCACGTGCTGGAGTCCTGCCGAGGAGAGAAGAATAGAGAAGAGCGAAGAGGAGAGCGAAGAGGAGAGCGAAGAGGAGAGAAGAGGAGAGCTCTCGGAGCGAAGTGCGCCGCTCGTCAGGCCCGGACCCCAAAGTGCTCCCAGCGCGGGGCCATCGAGGCTGTCGTTGACCTCAAGAGGCCCCCTAACAACACACACGTCCTTCAGCTCTCGATTCCGTCAAATCGCCGAGAGGCCATGAAGTCGTGGACCAAAAGACGTCCTCCAGGTCGCAAGGCCTAGCAGACTACCGTGGGTGTAAGTTAGTTGCACTGCAGTTTGCACGAACCGCAAGCTTTGATCCTCGGGCAATTTTTTATCACCTTCGCAGGTGGAAAACTTGGTCTGCACTGGCCTTCGCGGCACAAGAGCTGAAATAATTCATGGAGCCAGGAATAACGAGTTTGCATCCCATATCCCATGAAATCCCATGAAGCACTTGGAATAGTTAACAATCGAAAGTTTTGCCATCATCTTGAAGGGAGCCATGGCGATTTCGTTCGACCCGACACTTGCCAAACCGTTAAACAGTTTGCCACGCTCAGGCGGCGGGCCTCTCGACTGCAGAGTCATGACCTTTTTGCAGTTGGCTGTGTTTCGGGCGGAACTTAGCAGCATGCCTAGTATGCACCTGCATTCCTTCGTTCATACCACATCATTCGTCCTGACCACGAGCGTAGCGTTTCGATGAGCACGACTGGCCTAGCAAATGATCTCAGCATGCTGATGGTTGATGGTGGTCCTCATCTTTGATTCTCTGGAAGATGTAGAGAGACTTCCCCGTCAGGCTTGTCCTCATTACCTCCGTAACAAGCACATTCCATGTCATCCCGCTTGAGCTCAGTACGGATGTTAGGGACGTTGCTCTGTACTCATCGTCCATGTAGCTGAGGAATGCGTAGCTGAAAGTCCTGCTAGCAATGCGAGCAGCTAGCAACATCTGGTCTGCCGTTCTGAGCTCCCAGAGCCCATAGACCCGCCTGCACATCGGACTCATCAGCGTCTTGTCTCCACAGTACTCGACGGTGTCCTCGAGTGTGTCCTTGTCCAAGGGCAGTCCACCCTGCTCAACCTCAAAGCCTCTTGCTGGTAGCAAACATGCCGGTTGTTCGTACTCGACATTTGTAATTTCGAGCTTCAGAACAACGTCCTTGAAAGCACGTCCAAATTAAGGTGCTTGCAAAACAACAAACACATGGCTGTATTTGATGCAGACTGCCTGCCTCTTCACCGGTGACAACATTTTGCTGAATGCCCAATCGCCAGGAGCCCTGTTTGTCCATTGGATTTCTCTGCTGGCTTCGATGTACGACAGGTTCTCGCGCGCCTGGCCCCGCATGCACAGCTCCATCTGCTCGCCGTCCTCGTTTGGAGCCTGCAGGCGGCATTATCCAACAACGGAGAGCAGCTCCGTCTGTGTCTGTCCAGATCAACACCTAAGCCAAAACCCCATTTCTCACATCGGCCAGCCTTGAAGACTTCCTCCATATCGTACTCATTGAAACTCTCATATTTTGAATCGTCACCTCAATTGCGATGTATCTCATACCGCGGAAGCACGGTAGGTATGTGGCTGCCGGTTTGCATAGGCCGCTTGGCCATCCACTGCATTCACTACATGATTCCTCATAAACGAACAAGGTTGAAGTTCTTCTGGCGTTGCATGGACACTGCTCCGAAACCAGGAGAAAGCCAATGCACTAATTCGGAACCTGGATGCTGACGCATGCATGCGTGCACACGGGCTTGTCCGGGGCGCCGATTGATTCCGGGGAAGACTACTCGATCACTAAATATCCTAACATTGAATAGCTGCTTCGAAGGGGGGTTCGGTGAAGTACTTCTGATCGTGGCTTGTTGTTCAAAACCTCCGCCCGCCGCAATAAGATCAAAGATCTCACAGGTACAGAAACAAAGATGCGCGCGCACACGCAGTCATCCATTTGCATATGGCATACAGGCATGCGTTTGCATGTGCGCTTCCAGGAACATCGACGGTCTCCTCTCGCTCGATGGAAAACTGAAGCAATGACCTCAAAGATTATGCAGTGCTATCTAGTCTGCTATCTTGTTCGAGGCATACGAAGCTTTCAACGGGCTCCATGACAGAGGATCTGCCGCGTGCGTGCATCGAGGTACAAGCCTAAGCAACCAAACTTTCAAACTTGTGTGGACGGACGATTTATGTTGCACAGACTTCTGATACCATGGAAACTCTTCAGTCACTGACCCGAAGTCCTAGAAGATTGATTCGTCGAACCGAAACACTGACATTGTAAAGTGTTGACAAACCCAAGCGTCGAAAGGAGCGATGATTGGCAAACCCAAAACACTTGGCAACAGCCTCAAAAAGAAACAAATGCGCCCGAAAGTCACTGATCGCTGCCGCTGGCGAAACTCCAACCCTGGAAGAGATCATGCCTGCAAAAGATGTCGAAACCCTGGAAGACATGATGCCTCGCATAGTCTGGAAAACTGCAAATCTCGGACGAGCGCGCCAGGTATCCCGGAACCCAAGAGTAAAGAAGTATCGTGGCACACCGCGACAAGGGAGTGGCAGCGCAGAAACCAAAAGCTGACCGGCAAGGCCTGTTCAACCACAATGTGCACAGTCCTTCCTTGCAAATCCTAGACCAGCCAAGATTTGGGACGACGGTATACCTTAAACTGAAACGAAGCGATGCCCATCAAGCGGAATGCCCCACAAGACGTGGGCATCGGCATGTGACCCAGTGCAAGGAAGCCTAAACCTTACCTGCTGGAACGATGTCTCGACAAATTCAAACCAAAGATTCACAGCTGCCAAGCTCAAAATAGCTCCAACTGCAAAGCGGATGTCTGGCAAGCCCTGTGCGTAAATTCAACGCAGAGGGTGCATGGTTATCGTTTTGTTTTACTAGTATCGTTTTACAGGACTTTGGGACTGTATGATCTGAGCCAATGCTACGAACGTTCGAGATCGCCATTTTTTACTCTCCTCGTTTTACAACCACTTCGATTGCTCTCAAAGTACGGACGCCTCTACTTTCAAAAATGCTCTCGGGGGTTTTTATCATCCCTCGACGAGGTGACGCCGAAAAACAAAATCTAGATCTCACGACCCCTCCCCCCTCCCGCAGAGTGGCGCAAGAGCGTTTGGAACACAGTTCGGGAAGAAAGGTTCCCGTCTCGTTCCGGCAATTCCTCTCTGTCAGCAAACCACTATATATGCCGGCCAGGCGCCGGGGCTGAATTTCTGGACAAGGGCCTGCGGAGAAATGCCAGCAGGAAGTGTCTGCACTTGAGAAAACTGCTTCGCCAGTCGCTTCAAACTCGCCGTTCTTGATCTCCCGAACGCCATTGAGGACGGATCCCCATCTTCGGAACCTTTGTTGGGCTGCATGGTGTTTCAGGTGGATCGAACATCCACAATGGCCGAAATCATCTGCACGAGCAGGGAGGGCAAATGCTTCAGAGCCACTTCACTGACGTGGAATAGATGAGTTCCCATGTGCCTTCAAACTTAGCGCCGTCGAACTTGTTCAGATCACCAACCTGACAGGCAAACGCAAGTGACATGTCTGCCCGACGAACAAGACCGGATTCGCGCACTGGAATTCGCACACAGCGGCGGCGGATTCGCGCACTTCAAGCGCCGAATTTGCGAACACCAGGGATTCACACAAGAACGTCGGGATTCGCCGCATTCTCATTGCCCCCCCCCCCTCCCTGTAGCGCCAAACTCAAGCCCTGCACCCCAAGCGCGACCCGGAACCGTACATGCAAGCCAGGGTTTCGCACACGAGTGAGTGGTTACGCAAGCACAAAACCTCAAAAAGAGTGCGCGCAGAATCCCAAAATCCTGCAAGGAATGACTCGGTGGTCCACAACCCTGACTCGACTACCTTCTCATGCTTCATGCAGCAGTCTTTGGGGATTGCCGTTTGGAGCCACCCTAGTGTTGGACTACCCAACATCCAAGCAACCCTAAAAATCCCTAGGTCCTCGAGGCCTGAAGCCCTAAACATTTGGCTTTCCTTGCCTGGTCTCAGGCAACCTCTACACATCCAACATCTTGCATTCTGAAATGAGTGACTGCCCTGCAGCGAGCGCGTGCTCGAATCGCGCGTGCTCGTGCTTGCTCCTGGTCTGGTGCTCGAATCGGCGGTTCTCAACACGCCATGTGTGCTGGAAGTGAGTGGTGCGCTGCTTGAATCGGGAGTGCTTGAATCGGGTTGCGCGCATCGTTCCAGCGCTGAAACGGTGCTTGCAAGTTTGAGCTGGTGTGCAGAACTGAAGCGTCTTAGCTGGCAGCCTGATCACGCCAAACGTCTTCCAACTCACCAGCGAGCTTCACGATTTCCTGTTTGTACGGAAGTATGGGCTACCAAGCTCCAGCACAACAGCCACAAGTTCTGAGCGGCAGGCGCCGTCTTTTTCTTCCGTGGAGCCCAAGCCGGCAGGCTTGTCCGTTTGAGCCTCTACGAGTCTACGACGAGTCTACGAGGGCTGAGCTCCGGCTGACTCCCTCTCCCTGCGTATGCGGACTTCCGCCTCCAGCCTGGCGATGGCATCCAGCAAATCCTGCTTGACCTCAGAGAGACGCTTCGGAGGGGCAAAACCCCATGGAGTCAGGAACTGGCTGGCTGCGGGGCTGTTTGCAAGCCGCGCTTCTTTGCTTTAGAAATGCCGCCTTTGCCCTCAACCTGCATGATGGCCTTGGTCCGGAAAGCTCTCATCTTCAGATTTGCGTCTCCACATACACCACCTCTTGTGAACAAGTGCTGTTTGACAAGCCTGCTCTTCGGGTTCCTCCTCCTCGTCCTCTTCCACATACTCGAAGAGCTCGTCGACCTTCGAAACGAGAACCCTCACATCTGCGAAAATTGGCACGGGGGGTCTCCTTGGCCAGCAAGTCCCTGAAGGCCAGCACATCGATGAAGTCACCCTACAAAAGCCACAAGATGCCACATGGCTGCGGCGAGAGCCGCTGTCGCTACGCAACTCGCAGAGGAGGTCTCTCGGTCTCTGGCGTTCTTCTTCGGCAGCTCCTCCCAGATCTCCTCCAGCTCCTCCTCGGAGATGTCCTCGGCGCTTGCACTTTCGTCTCTGTGTGGCCCCACAGAAGCGCTTGAACTCACCCGTTGGCCTCCACTGCACTACGATGAACTACGATGAGACCGAGTCTATTCTCTGCCAGATCGTGCCCCTCAGCTGACAAGGCTCCTCTTGCTCGAGCATGTCCTCAAACTCAGAAATTTCTTTGAGCGCATCGAAGGAAAGGAGGTTCTTCTCGTCGCAGGCCTGCGCTGACAGTTGTGCACCGATTGGTTCAACAGCAACCCCGACAGCTGCTCTGGCCCGCCTGTCGAAAAAGCTGTGTAATTTCAACATTCTGCCTTCCTCCACCAGCAGACCTGCCCGTCTCCGAAAGTAGTAGTGGCGGCCGTGTGCAGCAGACAGGGACGGAAATGAGGGCATGGCGGGGTTGCCAAGCCATCTGTGCTCCGGCTGTCCCCTTCATCTTCGACGCCTGCAGAGTCTGAGTCTGCTGAAATCTTCCGGCTGCAGCCGTGCCCCGTCTGTACAACCTGCTGCCAAGATTCTGTAGTCTTCTAAGTAATCATCGGTCTTTCCGGTGATGATCTCTTCGGCAAGTTTCCATGGAGGCTTCTGGTACTCGGGAACTTTGTCGGTCTGGCCACGAAAGAACTCTGACCACACATGCTGCAGAAAGGACGTGCACGAGCCGGTGGGGCCAGAGTTCCGTACATCATCTTCTGCTTTGGCTTGAGAGCGGAGGTGCTCAATCGCTCCACTTGCACTCCGACAGCAGGGGCATCCTCGAGAAGCTGCCTGCGTGCAGCAACTGCAGCGTACAAGATCGTACAAGACAAGACCCAAAAGACGCCGCTAGGCTCATCCAAGCCACTCGTCGTCCAAATTATTCATGTCCTTTGTCAAGTCTTTTGTCCATGCAGCTACCCCGCAGAAGCAGAAGCACTGTCCTCGAGACCCTGCTCTTCGTCATCGAACACATCTGACGGAGGTGCTACCGCATCTTGCCAAAGGAAGGAATCCTGCCATGTTCACTCCGGGAAAACAGAATCTACTAACGTGGTCGAGATACATGTACAGCTTGCGCATCCTACAACAAATCTCAATATACAAACGCACGGCACATCACCGCATGGACGACAAACAAGCAAAGGCCCGTCATACAGCTTGAGCACGTCGTTGTACCAGCGACCTATGGATGTGATCGAAGCACCAGGTAGAACATGCCAAGTTGTTGGCCAGGTCCCGCACTGAAGCCCTCGAAATCCAGTGGCTCGTCGGGGTCCCCCCAGATCACCTTTAGCTCCTCGACATTCGCGGCTCCCTCTTCCAGGACCGCGTCCACGCCCTCCAGGCCTCAGAAGTTCTGTGTCCGGCTTAGCCCTACTGCCCAGAACTCGAAGCCAGGCCTACCGTGCTTATATGTGCTTATAATATTGAGCACATTCTGTAACCCCCCGCCGTCTAAAGCATGCGCACGGCTACCAGAGCGGAACCGTCAAGCTTGCAGCAACCTGGGCTAGGTGCTTGCAGCTTGGTCGAAAGTAACGACATCCTTCCCCTCCGATGCAGCGTCAAAAAGCGACTGCCTGACAACAACAACAACAACAACAACAACAACAACAACAACAACAACAACAACAACAACAACAACAACAACAACAACAACAACAACAACAACAACAACAACAACAAGTTTTCGGATTGCCGGCACTGTTGTACTGAGACACGAATACCGTCTCATAGCCTTTATGGCTCCCAACAGTCGGTGAGTAGTTCTCATCGAGGGCTTTAGGCCCGCACGCTCACAGCTCCCTAGGTGCATGTTGGGAAAAGGCCACGCTTGAAAGTGCTTGATTGTGCTTATAATATTGAGCACATTCTGTAACCCCCCGCCGTCTAAAGCATGCGCATGGCTACCAGAGCGGAACCGTCAAGCTTGCAGCAACCTGGGCTAGGTGCTTGCAGCTTGGTCGAAAGTAACGACATCCTTCCCCTCCGATGCAGCGTCAAAAAGCGACTGCCTGACAGCGGGCGCTTTGTGGAACCAGGATGATGCGGCGCTCGAGAGTTTGGAGGACTTAAGACATCTGAGCAGCCAACAACTCTTCATCGGTGAGCTCTTCCTTTTCCCTCGGGCCAACATACTGCTGAAAAACATACGACTCTTCGGGATTAGGTATGCAGCTCCCAAAACAAGTGGACACCTAGTTCCCAAATGGCTGATGCCACTCATTCCTGGATTAGTTTCAGTACCCTGGTTTCGGGATTTAGCAAGTGAGGGTCGGGACACGCCACTGGAGGCACATGTGGGGACAACTGCTGCACAACCACTGTAACAAAGTCCCCGACAGTGTCTCTATTGTGCTGCCAACAGCCATGACCACCTCAAGACGGAAGCCGGCAGCATGTGGAAGAGCATGTGGGTGGTTGTCAAAATTATGGTCCTTTTTTGGGTCCTTATTATAATACGGCACCTATTATTTAGGGTACCCCAAAAGGGACCATAATTTTGACAACTACCCATGTGAAGAGAAGGCGAATGCCTTGCAGTGCTTGCTCTTCGCACTTTGCCGAAGCCTGTCATTGCAACAAGGCTTGAGCAGAGACCTCTGGGATGCTCTGGGCCCTGGGTGCCTCCTTCGGCTCGCAGATGCTGCGACCCCACCAATCAGAAATGGTACTGCTGCCGCTCCAGCCATCTGTCGTTCGAGGTGCTCTGCACCATGCACACCGCCACCACTCGACACGCACACTTCCCCTGACCGAAGACACAACTCATTGCGCTGCCTTTGCGCCGCCATGACCGCTCCTGCGAAGGCGATGGCAGGCCCCAGGAGCCGGGGGAAGGTCAGAGGGCACCGCTACATCGCCTGTGTCCCCGTTCCAGCTGTGTGGTCCAAGCGGAACTCGCCTTCGCCTCCAAGCGCTCGAACTTTAAGCAAGGGAAACTGGCCTTCAAGCTTGGCTTTCACCTCTGGAGATGATGCCAGGACGGGAGGCCTCTGCATCTTCTGACGACGCACGGTAGCAAGGTTCGTAAATGTAGCTTGGGGACTGAGATCCGCACAAAGAGGCAGCCGGCGTTGGCATGGCCATGGCAGCCATGGGTGGCATGCTGATCGCTAGTCTTGTCTCCGCGGTTTGGGCCTCCTCACCTTCGCTAGACTGCCGACAAGGAAATCCTTAGGAGTATACGGTACATCTCTGGACAGGTGGTCCAATTAGTCTACCCGGACCGAGTGTGGTTGGCATTGTTGGCATTGGTCAGACACGGACCGACAGTCTCTGATCTCTACATGTGTGGGCTGAGAGCAAAGGCTTGCACGTGCCATCGTGCTGAAAGCAAAAGCCTGCATACGACGTACGACCGTGCCAGCCAAATCTGAGCGTGCAAGACAGTGACAGGACACTTCTCATCGAGAGAGGCAGTACAGAAGACTCACCTTGAAGGCATTCTTGTAGAGCGGGAGAATAACACTCTCGGGGACGGAGCCACTGATGTAGGACTCGGGCAGGCAGAATAGCATTGGCTCCACAGCTAGATGCTTTTGAGCGCGCAACCATCAGCACGATGTCGTAGTTGCTGTCACTAACCTCTGACATGGTCTGGCTTTCAATACCCGACCTTCCTCAAGACGATCACAGAAGTGCTGGGTCAGCCACTGGCCAGTCTGGGCTTGTCGCATCAAGCTCCACAAAAGAAACACGGTCCTGAATGTCCTGCGAAATCCAAAACATGCACATATCTGATGTCGGGGTGCAGTGCGACGTTGGCGCTCCTGAGGCTGCTGAGCCTTGATGCCCTCGCCCGTGCGACAAACCTGGAAACAGCGGTCCGTCCGCGCACTCAGACCTAAATTCACAGCTCTGAGCCAGTCTGCGTGCCTCTGGCAACTCCAGCACGGTGGACTTGAGGCCCGGGGTGGCCTCAAAACACTTGAAGGTGTTGTGGACCTCTGCGGCACCGCCACGATCCGCCACGCATGCGTGCCTCTGTGAAGACGTAGGAAAATGCTCCAGAGCCACCTGCATTTCACGACATGTAAGCTTCGTTGTTGCGCTACTGGCATAAACCCCCCAACCCTGTGCATCTACCATGCCTCCGACATCAAGCATGGAGCTAATTCCGCCCAAATCCAGCTTCTTGCGCACGAGGTACCTGAACAGAGGAGGGTCCATTCTGCACTTCTCACGTCTGCTTCCGGAACCGATGCTACAATGTGAAGATAATTTTGGAGCAGAACAAGCCTCTGATCAGATCAGATGAGCCCGGGCACATCAGTTCACACATATTGAATATACACATGTAAGCACGGGCACTTGGCAGTTGCCACGGATCCGTTGTGTTGCGCCTGCTGCCGCATCCGATGGGTGGCGCCCCAACAGGCTGGGCTGAGTATGGTTGGGTGATTCGCTCTGGTGCCAGGCGCACCAGATCACAGCAGGATCTGAATCTGCACTGTCAAGTTACGAACAAGAAGGAATCGGTCTTTTTCCAGGAAATCAATCACTGCCAGTTAGGCAGCTCGTTCAGTCTGTGCCGAAAGATGTACCTCCAGACCTAGGCTGCAAAGCTAACAGCGGCTGCTCTGCGGTGCTCTGGGCTCCCGGCCTTGTCGTGCACGAGGTAGCGAATGCTTTCCCCAGCTGCTAAGTGCGCCCGCACGGCTGAGGAGCTGATGCCTGCGGCATCTCAATTACCGAATTGGGCTACTTGACGTAATGCCAAACGCAGTACGGCTATGTACGGCTCCCTCAGTCTGCCGTATGAGACTTGACTACTCGAAAATCACTTCCAAACACAGGCTGAAACGACCCGTACAGACACCTACTGAGCTTGAGATGTGGCTGCGATGCTTCGGGTATAGATTGTATACGGTAGAAAACAACGGTTGCTTCCGTGGCTGCATATAATATGGCAATATGGCAAAGGCAACCGGCGCGCACAAAACCTCTGAAAGAAAGCTAAGGCTTTGCGAGCACCCAGGACCCAGGATATGTGCTGGCGTGACCCATTACCGAGGCGTCTTGAGGTGAAGGGCATGCACCCGGCACAAGGCAACAAATGGGCTGAGCAGAGCTTCATCACAGGCTATCACTAGCGCCCGCAATGTTTGCCGGTTTCTCTTAGGAGATAGACAAGCACGAAGCCGTCGTAGAGTTACCAACAGCCGGTGTCCGAGGAGAGACCGATTCTAACCGTGCCTGTGCGAATCCGGGGTTGCGCTATGGTGATGTTGTCTGCATATCGAGCCAGCAGTGGACACTGCTGTACCTTGCAATGGCGTGCTCAACGTGGGGAATTGGGCGGAGCGCGCAAAGAATTAGGTCGAGGTCGGGTGAGGCTGTGGCAAAGGCATCTAGATCTTGATCATCCCGCCCAACAACCACCACGCCATGCTGTCCAAGAATGACCTGGACCAGAAGGGTTGCTTCATCAGGCCAGAAGATGCAGACCAGCACTTTTTTGAACATGGACTGGCACCTCTAGCTCGTCATCTGGCCATACCCGGTCGCCGTTCTCTTTGGTCGCATTGAAGGACTCAAGCACATCCCCACCACACAGCATTACCTGCAAAGCTCGTGCAGAGACACCAGCCGGATGGGTATGCTGATGAGCTCACCAGCCGAATGTTGCCAGCCCGTTTCCGGGAATTGCCGACAGACACCTTGACCTGCCAAGGGCGATGTTGGGGGATTTTCTGCAACGCACCAGATACGCGGTGGCTTCAGCGCTCCTTCGCAAGCTCGGCGGCAAAATGGGATATGACCTCTCGAACATGTCTCAAACACACACGCTACTGCACTGCACACTGAGGCGAAGGCATCCACAGTTGGAGTCCACGTATGTTGGCACGAGCATTCCCAACCTTAGAGCTTTCGACGAGGGTAAGCAGGAAGAGCTGGTGCCCTGCCATGCTCTGCAATCCAAGAAAGGTGCCATCTGCCATCAGCCAGTCAGAATCTGAAACTGCAGCTTCCACCCTGCGGCACGAACGATGATATGAATGACACCGCATGTCAACGCGTCCAACTCAATGCAGAACTGGGGTCCGTGCATCTTCAGGCGGTGATGCGAGGGCGCCAGTGTTACCTCAACTGGTTTCGCGAAGCCGCAACGCATCTTGAAAGGACTCGAGCGAGCAAGCAAACTCAATCGGTCGTCTGGGCAGGGCGCCTGGGGGCCCAGCTTTGCCATAGGAGTCATGGACTGGCGACAAGTAACCTCCAACCACGGCGAAGCGGCCTGCCAGCCAAAACGCGGCCGGATACCTCTGCTGTTTTCGCCCACTTCTTTGCCTGAAGCGGCACGCTCGAGAGCATCACGGGCCTGGCACGCGAGCAGTCTGTGCTGCAACAGCGGCATCACAAACCAGAATTACTTTTTGCAAAGATCTCCTCTTCGAACATGCGCAAGTGAAGCAAAGTCGGCGGCCTGAGAGATCCAATCGGGTGCGACATTCTTTGCGATCGGCTCTGAGATCTCCGCGAGAAGGAGCCCGGAGCGACGATAGCGACAGGAATTCGCCCTCACATGCGACGGGTAGCCGAACTTCTGAGTCTGTGCCTGGTGAACTACCAAGGCTCGAGCCATCTTCCACCGAGAGCTTCAACTTCGAAAGCGGCAGCTTGCAAGACTGCCGCGAGGAGCCACAGAAAGCCTGTGCTGACTTATCCTGCTATTACGAAATAGTTTCTCTGCGCTGAATCCAAGTACATCCAAGTCGCCCTGTCATTCCTGTCGCAGTCAAACTCCGCCGACGGTGGCCTTCCACGCAGATGTTCACTGTTGCACCTTGGAAAAAAGCCTCAGGGCCAGGGCTCTGACAGTCCGCTGTGGGAGCGCGTGGCACAGGCGGCCATCATGATCGTAGCCACAGCGGCGGTTGCTCGATTTCTGCAGCTCCAACTCCATCGCCCGAGCCTGCCTCAATTTAGCATTTCTGTGCAAGTACACCTCCTTAGAGGTGCCAGGTGCTCCTTTTGCCCTACAGCCGAGGATGCAGCTCCGTGCTGTCGCTGAGCAAGGCAACCAAGCCATTCCGCACGAATTCCAAGGGGCACATGCACATCTCGAGCTGGCCAGCTATAGTCTGAAGTGCTCTTTGCTGAAACCTCTTGGGGTTCGTGCTGGATGCAACAAGGATTTTGAAATCTGTAAGGCCATTTTTGCTTGGCTGCTGTGGTTGTATGCTAACCTTCTCGCATCGCTTTGCCTTTTGTGCTTCCATGTCGTCTTTGAAGAGGCCCGGCAACGAAGCCGTCACCAGGCAGCTGAGACAAAGCCCGGCGCCTGCGTGTAGGTCTTGGCAACTTCTGGGTCAGAAAACCAAGACCTGGCATGAGTCGGAACATTGCGATTGACACGAGTCTAAAGCTTGCCCACGACTACTGAACTGTGTCATGTTGTCCATTCCATGCTCCCTAGCATTGGGACGGGGGCTTCAACAGTGCAGTGCTTGTTGGCTCCATAGCGACAGTGCGACGAATGCACTCTGCTCCATCACGATCTCGCGGAGGCCTTGAGCCAGAGGGCTCGTATAGTACACAGCTCGGGGAGGGGCCAACTGGCAGTTCTTTTGAACTTGTCGTTGTTCATACATTTGTCTTCAGGTAGCTTGGAAATTCACCACGACTACGCCGCATCGCCCCGCACTTTTTATAGGAAACGGATTATGTGCAGTTGATGGGCAACGAACCGTAGGACTACCATCGAACCACGAAACATACAGTCCACCATTTGTCTCCGTCTTTCGGGCAGGCAGGAAGTTGTGGGACCTGGACGCCGCATACTGCAACCGTTGTCCGAAGTCAGGAGCGAGCCAGAAGATGTCAGCGCATCCATGTTTGGTAGTCGAACGTTGAACTTGATAGGAAGTCTACGGCTTGACCACTAGAATCTCCATCGTAATACCCCCAAGAATAGTATTTGAGGGACGCCTACATTGTTGATAAATAGTTTTATCCACCACTTCACATCAACGCGACACTGCCGTTCAAGCTCCTCAAACAGCACGCCTGCGGAATCAGTGCATCTTGTGCATGTCTTGGGGCTCTGTCTGCTGTCCCTGTTAAATCCTTCTGAGGCAGTTTCTGAGCATTGCACATCGTCAACCACGAGCTACAAGAACAAGTCGGGGGTGCGCATAGCTCGGGGCTTTGCCTGTGGTCATCACTTCTGGAAGGGCTCCCATCCGATGGTAGAACTGGCAGCTTGGCAGCACAAGCAGATCTCGAAACGACACCAACTGCCCAGCCGGCTGTCCTGACGACCAATCTGGTACTGCAAATAATCGCCGTAGTAGTGCCTGGATGACGAAACCTGCACGGGGTTGGCTGGTTGGCTACGGACCGGATGTGAGATGAGGGTTGTAAGGACCCTGCCATGTACTGAGCGGTGTTTGGCGACAAGGTATACAATCCCTCGTCGCTGCGGCGCAAGCACTTCCTGGGACGCCGGATGCTGGTTCAGCAAGTTCAGCCCAGATCATCGACTTGGGACCGAACACGGCAGTGAGGGCAGTCAGCAGCGTGGTCAGCCTTGGGCCTTCAACGCCACAGGCCTCAGCACCATGCGAAAGACTTCCAAACGAAAAGTCGCATCTTGTCAGAACCTGCTGCACATCTTTGGCAGCACATCCTTTCTCGCCAGCCGCGGCTACCTGGCGCTCTTGAAGTTTGAAGAGACACCTGCTAGGCTCTCAAGATCTCTCAAGGCCATGGTGCGCCCGCAGAAGTTCCTTCGACTTTAGCCATCTGCCCCACTAGCCCTTTCGACTTGCAGGCATGCTGGGTACACCCTGCAACTACCAGCTGCCAGAGTGCCGCAACCTGGTGCATTCTGCGATTGCTGAGATGAGCAATGTTGACGAAAACAGCCGATTGTCAGCCTAGCGTTGTTAAGCTGTTTAACATGCAGGCGGCTGTCTTTGTGTAGCAGTAGCATGTGCTGATGGCAGTATGTACGACATGCTGAGCATGTTAAATCATAGCACCACAGTCAATGACTAGCTGTGACATACAGGTCAAATCTCTTGTGGCAGTCGAGATGTCAGAAAGGAAACCTCTCGCAAACCTCCGTGAGCTTGCACAGAAGGGTAGGCAAATTGTTCACGATATTCTTTCGGCGAATGGCCGTGACTTTTCTGTCGCAGCGTGTTTGCAGCACCCGCTTCAGGCCTTCCCGTAAAGTGACGCAGTTGCCGATTTTGCAAGTCAATCCAGCGTCACAGTGACCTCTTCAAAACTACAAGCTGTTCACAGCATGTGCATTTGCGTTGCATCAGTGCGTACATTTCTGCGTGCGAGAGTGTCTAAAACTTTTTCTCCCTAGGTATGCCCCGCCTGCCTGCATGCCAGTGCATGTCTTGACAAAAAGGGTCTGTCTGATTTTCATTCGTAGCAATGGAATTGAGGATGAAGATGCGGTGAGTGTAGGGCAGTACTCCTGCTACTAGCAAGTATGGATGTGCGGGCCGTGGTGGAACTTCGATGGAAACCTGTCGAAGTACCAAGCCACGTCACACTGCGACATGGCAAAATGGACCAACCATGTGTCGTTGACGACACGTGTAGTTGAGCTCTCCGTCGTTGAAATGTCACGAAGGACATGTCAACACTGTACCTGTCTGTTCTACGCAATCCTTTGAAAATCCTGTACATCACGGTGCCTCTGAATCACTGACTATGGGTGAGTCACACATGAAACACGCGCTGACATGATCTGACATGCACACAGACTCGGGACATATCGAGACGAACACTTGCATCCTGCCCTCCCCCCTCGCCCACTTCGCCCGCACCGTGTCAGAAGCCCTCGTGGCTGTAAACGCTTGCATGTCAGGCATACTGAAACGAAATGACATGAAGACAGTCTGCTTCAATGGGCCACGGCCACACCTTGTCAAAAATCCCGAGCTCAAGAGCCGAGAACAGCGCCTGAGACGAGTCAGTTGTGAGTCTGCGGGCGACTGCTGAGAACTGCGCCTGGGACGCCATAAAGCCGTATGCCACGCTATCCAAGTCGACGTCATCGCCGGACTCCCAGCTGGTGCGAGAGAAAGCCCGCACCTGCAAAGGTGACCCTACCCCGGTTTGCGTTTCGCTTCTTGCACCCTGTGTTATCCTCTCTGTTGGTGGCAGTCGTTGGTTCGTCACCTCTCTCTCTCTCTACTTCAATAAGTCCGGAGCTTTCTCTCACACATACATAGTAGGGATAACGATGTACGGAAGCAACAAAAGCGCAGCTACGGCTGAGCGAAGGCAACAGCACAGAAGCACAGGAAGGAGCTGGTGGGGTGAGGCAAGAAACGCCCCCAGAAGACCAACGGTGGAGTGTAGCGGACGATGAAGAGGAGCATGTTGGCATAGGCCGTACCCCACAAAGAAAAGTCCTCTTGATGCCCAGAACCCGCAGGACTCGCCTGCTCTCGGCTTGAGCCGAAATCTCTCTCTGGCGCTCTGAAGTCTTTCAGGCCCTCCGAGGCGTGCACGCCCGGAAGCGCCGCGAGCGCTGGCGGCGCTGGCGCCGAAAGCGGGGAGAAGAGCGCTCGCTCGGGCACCCGCTTCGTACATCTTGAGATGGCCCTGAAGGGTCCCGACAGGAGGCATTGCAGCGGCATTACGTGGTCCACGGTCTACTGTCCTTGTCAGACCCCTTGCCGCAGCAAAAGCGGCCGCCATGAGAACCTCGGCCGCTGTAAGACCTAGGGTTCTTGGGACGGAACCGGAGCGGCGACAAGAAAAAGGCTGAGGTGCAGCTGGCCGAGGTGTCAACTGCCGACTACGCCCTCGCACTCTGACAAGCCAACGCTGCCCGTGTCGAATCGTGGTCTCAGATTCCAAGCCTCGCCACTTCGATGTGTCATCGTTCTCGTCTTGAGCAAGGCGGACAAGCTTTTCTTGCACTCTCTGGCACAGGAGTCGCACGCATGGCATTAAAAACTGCACATGTTGCGACGAAGCGCGGAACGTTGCTGATTGCAAAAAGTCTGTCAACGACCTGCCAAATTGAAGTTCACACGTTTTGTGTGCACGACAGGACGAAGCTCTGAAATGTCGACCTTTCCCCTCAGCATCCTTTGGAACAAGGCGTGCGTTCGGTTTGCGCCTCGAGGGTCTGCCTGTACTGGAAAAATGGAAACACGTCAGTATTACAAGTCGCTGTGGACTTGTCCTTCAGACAGAGTACCAGGCAACATCCAATACAACCTCAGTCGATGAGGCGAGTGTAGCTCGGAAGGAAGGAGCTACGAACACTGCAAGCCGTGAGCGGAGTTGTGAAAGGACAGGGCAAGCGGCTGAAGAAGTCACTATCATTGCCAGCAAGAGACAGGCTTCCAGCAATCAAGCCGGTAGAAAGCAAAGACAGGGCAAGATACCTGCAAGGAAGTAAGTCAGCCACAGCACAGCTTCCCAACCTCTCAACTGCCTGAGGTTCGCCGGAGCAGACGGCTCTGATTCGAGGCCTTAACACCCCACAGTAAATCCACCAAAACTTGAGCAGGCTCATTCATCGATCAGGGGGCCAGGCTCCGCTCTTTCCTGCTTTCTTTGTTGGCTCCAGACTTGCACATCCCACGACCCATCGCCTGACATGAGTGTGGCTTACCGGCGATTCTCCCGTACAGCTGCTTGCAAGATGCCGAGCTCACACAGGTCCAGTAGAACTGCAGCATAACCACGGCAGCGAAAGAAAGGCTTGCCTTCGGGCTGACTGAAGTCTCCCTCTGAAGGTGCGCTCTGTGCTTCCCGTCTGGCTGCTAGTCTAGCTTGGGGGCAGGCGTAGCTCCTTATCGCTGGTGGCCTCACCTGACAGCAGTCTACGGGAGGGTGTCCACTCTACTATAAGTTTAACCTAATGCGATGACTCCTCGACCACAAGCGCTGTCAGCGGTGGTGGAAGCGCCTCAGGCGCTGGGCCACTGTTATCACGCAGTTCGGCAGGCTTTGGCTTGAAAAGACAGCGCACAAGGCTGCAGGATGCTACAGTACAGGCCAGGCCAGAATCTGGCACAGTGAACAATCACAGCAAGTCAAACTTGGATGCACGTGAGTCCAGCCCCAAGGGACACTTCTTATAGCTTTGCATCTCTCCATTCGGATCGGCCACCACCTGCCAGCATTCACCGGTATCGCCCCTTTCCTCTCCTCCAGAAAGGCCATTTACAAGGTTTTTGTGAGGAGGGCACATCGCGGGGCGAGACTGGCACATCCGCCCCTCCCCTCTTCTCTCCCGCACACGGGGTCTACACTGTGGACAGCATTGGGTGGGGGACTGGGAGCACGCAATGCAAACACATATGAGGCCTATGAATGCCTGTGATCGTTCTCGTCTTCCCCTTCGGGCTTCGCAAAAGACTGGTGCACGCGCGCTTGGGGAAACAGAGGCCGAGAAGCGTTCAACAGTAGTACACGACGCGGACGTCTTTCCAAAGCTCCTTCAACTCCTCTACTGTTGCTGTTGTTGGACTTAGGATCTGGCCGCGAGCGGAGATGTCCATCCAAACGTGCTGGCCTGCAGCTCCGCCATCACAAAACTCGAACAACGCTCATGACAGTTGATAGTCGAGGGAACGGCCAAGAGTGCGGTACCGAGAGCCGGAAACCAGATGAGACGTATCACAGCCTCGACAGCATCAGGGACGCTGTTAGCACTATTTTGCAGACTTGCTTCCTCGCTGCAGGTGATACTTGGTGTTTCGTTTCGAAGGAGCCTCTAGATAGCCCCTTGGTGCAAAGATACGCGCCGCTAGAAGTAAGCCGTGGTCCTGCACTCGTAGCTCATCGTTCTGACAGGGACAGCGTCGGCCAATTGCCGACTGCACGAACAAGTTGATGAGGCCACGAGTTTCTGGTATCAGCTGCTCAGACCAGTGCTAGATCAGTCTCTGTTAACCCCTTGAAACTCAGCGCGTAGGGCGTAGGAGTCGCGTGGCGCCGCTTAGACGAGCACCCGCGAGCTAAGGCATGAACCCACGTTAGGTAAAAGCCCAGCTCGCACCAGGCAGGACGTCCCAAGAGTCTGCGTAGGGTCAGCAAGACGGTGTTGATCTGCGGTGCCGGAACTTAATTGATGGGCACTCTGACACGAAGCTCAGCTGACGAGTCCTCCACGAGTAAAGCCCGGCTCGCGTTTACGCGATGGCTTTCCTGATGTGACGGCAGCTGTGCAATGGAGGGGAGGTCCAAAAATAAGCCGTCACATACGACAATGCCGCAAAGACCTTTCGGCTTGCATTGTTGTCGGCTGATTTTCTCCCGTTTGCTGCTAGGGCGCATAAAACATTGGCTCTACGATGACGATGAGAGTCACCTGGGTCTTTGTGTTCACTCTCGTGCGAAACGAGAGTGGCAACGTGCACTCGCCGAGGCCGAAACCAAGTGATGCAGAATTACGCTGACGGGCGTCTTGACCTACATGTGAAGGCCATCCGACCGCAGCGGCTCCCACAGCGACCACACGTTCCAGGAAGGCCGGGGAATCGAACTGCAAACCGGAACCGCAGGAACCGAGCCGCGCAAGCACCAAACAGCACAGGAACCGCAAGACACACCGAACCTCTGACGGTTCGAAACCTTGTGGCTTCAGGTCTCCATTAACACAGTGGAGTCTGAAGCGAGATGAAATCGAGAAATCCAGACTCCTCTGAATTCCAGATTGGAGTTGTTCAATTGAACAGTGTGGCCAAAGCCGTGCATCAGCCGATCAGCCGATCGGCTGATGCGCAGTTTGGAAACCCACTTTGCGAGCCTTTTGCTTGAATTTGCTAGGCGCGAGCCTGCCAGGAAAATATAAGTACCCTGTTTGGGTTTTCCAGGCGTCTAGTGCCAAACAAGGTAATTACCTTTTTCACCCGCCCTGGCAAGCAGCCCGCACTAAAATAATATCTTGTTCGACCCTTTTTGGCATTTTTCCAATGCCGTCGAGCACAAAAATAGCACCTTTTTCTGGCGCGACCCCTGGGCTTTTCAGACCTTCGCAGGCAAAAAATACCTTGCTTGTCCATGCCTCTCGAGCCCAAACAGGCTATCTTTCTTCCAGCACAGAAACAGTATTCTTCCGCCGCAAGAATTAGCCCTGTTTGTGCTCTTCCATGGATATATCGATCCTGAAAAGTGTACCTTTTTAAAACGCGACCGTGGGCTTTTTGCAAAACCACCTTGGCAGGCAAAAGCGTACCCTTTTGGGCTGTTCCTGTGCTCTCGAGCCCAAAGAGGGCGGGCAACAAAAGGGTGTCCTTTTCTCTACAAACCCTGGCATTGGCTACATGCTACATGATATATTTCGGGTCCACGTCGCCCCGGGGCCCGCGCCATGTCCGGTTGCAGCGCGATCCAGAGAGCGTCGGAGACCAAGTAGGCCGCGGTCACGGCGATGACGATCGTGTGGAGTGAGGACTCCTCTTCCCGGGTTTGATGGGTTTGGAGCTCTGCTCAAAGCTCGGGGTTTCGTTCCTTTCCGCTTTTCTGGTGGCTCCTCGCCAGACTCGAGGGCAGCCGCACTCAGGGCAAAGATCGCCGTCAGCGCCTTCAGCGACGGGCAATCCAGTCGTCAACCCTTGCGTTCAGCATCGAGACCCGGGCTGCAACATTGACCCAATCATGAAGCAGCCCTGCTGTCAAGGGCCTGGGAGCTGGAGAGGAAGTCAGTACCCCATGTCACAAGCCGCATCATGCCGCACCTCCGCTCCTGTGCGGCTTTTCCAAGCACAGACATGGCACCTGTGCGAGGACTGTGACAGGGATATACAGTGATGTGGTTCCAACTCAGCATGCCGCCGATGTTCAGGGTCGAACCAAACCGGCGAGGCACGGTCTCATGCCATCTGTACTAGGAGGCATGTATCAATGCTTTTGCTTGAGGTTTACTCGATATGGGCCAATGGAGCAATGGTGCTGCACGGTTTGCTGAAAACCTGTCTACTGTGGGAGTGAGCTGATGCAAGTTGAGGTATTCGTTGCTAGTATCTCTGAGCCGCGGCTGCGGAATCGTCCGCTGAAGAAGAGGCCGGTGCAGATGCCAGACATGAGGCATCTCCCACAAAATCACAGTGCCTTGCAGTGCCTCAACACAAGAACTTTGCAGCAAACGGCGGACAAGAAACCTCATGTTGGCCGGTTGGGACGTCTTGTCTCATTCCGGAAACTGTTGCCAAGTGGGGTTTAGAGCCTCTCGGTCCTTGGCTATGTACAGTCGAAAGCTCCATCTAGGCAGCCCGCAGAGACACGTGTTATGCTCCCGGGCTGATCTATATAGTCACTCATGCATGACTATCCTGTCCAGCACTTTCAGCTTCTGCATCGTCCAGCGCGAACGGTGCGTTCGTTCCCGCTTGATGTCTTGCAGTGCCGGCGCAACCGGATCTCCCTTCTCTTTAGCCCTGTCTACCAACGTACGAGCCAGTGTCTCGTTCAAGTAGAGCAAGCTGCCATTCGTCAGCACCATGATCCTTGCTTCGCTGCTCTGTACTCGAACCTCGCATTTTGATGGGTACGGGCACTCGCCTTTCGGATCATATAGAGCCGCAAGTCCAAAGCACTCTCCCACGTGCAAATTGCACAGCTCCAACTCTGACGGAGCAACTCCGAGGAAAGGAGCCGTACGCTTCTGGCGAAGGGCCTCGTGCCACGGTGTTCCACGACGTGGTGTGCCGGGCCTTCGAGGTGTCAAGCGGGAACCTTTCTTTGGCGTTCCACTGGCCACGGACGCGCTCTGCGTCGGTGGAAGAAGCAGCGGTCGATCTCCAAGTTGGAAGACTGGAAGCTCACCGCTGCTCTTCAGTCGGAACCGACTTGGCAGGCTATCTTGCTTGGCCTTGGGCTTGCCCGAGCGCGGGCTGCCACAGCCAGGTCTAGACCGGGGTGTCTCCGACCAGCCACTTTGCGCACTTCCGTCCAGGCTTCCTGGCAAACGTCCCATCCCAAGGATGCGTGAAGCGTCCTCGAGGCTGCCCATGCAAGCATCCTGATCTACGACAGGAACCGACACCCTCACATAGCCACCGGAGATCAGGAAGCAAGCCTGGAGCGCCTCAGGCACAAAGAGGGCTTGTCACAGCCACAGGATATCTTTGCTGCAGGTGTTCCAGCCTGTCCAATTTCCAGGAATACATCATCATACCGCAGCACTATCTCCTGCAGCGTGCGAAGACACCACAGAGTCAAGTACGCCTTTGCCACTCCAAGAGCTGTCAGCCTCCACGTTGGAAGCCAGGAGTGCCAGGTTGTTAATGTTCGCCCCCTCGAAGAGTGGTGAACTCGCCAATGCATGAACCTGCAGCTGCTGCGGCTGCTCTGTGCACTGTCTTGCTTGCACACCAGCAACTCAGCCTTCCGTCGCACGTCAGGGAGCAACGCTGCTGCCTGGTCGTCCTGCCGAGTCAAGAAGCATGGCATCGAATTTCCCGAAACACAAGTGAAAGCTGCACAAGAAGAGGCTCTTGCTTTCCGACGGAGGTGTCAACAACCGGTCCTGCTCAAGCGTCTCCTTCTGACTCTCCCTGGCAGCCGCGTGTTTGTGTTTGCACTTTCTCGGCAGAAGAGCGGCCTGGGATTGGCGGCATCCTTCCCATCCAGCAGGCCCATCGCCTTCGTCAGGATGACTCTCCCCAGACACGGAGTCTCATAAATCTCATAATCTCTCTGCCACCTGGCGATAGTCTCCTGCACATATTCGCCTTAGAATGTCAGATCTCCGCAAAAATGTGGCACTCGCTTGGCCATCGAATCTGTGGCTCAGACAGAAGGCAGCTGTCCTCGCATCGTGACATCGTATGAGTTTGATATGGTTGATACCATTCAACCAGACTTTAACGCGTTTGCACCAAGAAGTATGCTCAAGTCGTCACGCGCCTCCTGAGCATGCGCCCCTGCCTTGCGCCGAGGAGGACCTTCCTTGAAAACAAAGCCGCATGCATCCGGACGCTCTCAAATGCTGCATGCTGTCAGAATCCAGGAATCCCTCTCCGATCTGCAATCGTCTTTCACGGGTCCACCGCTGGGTTTCCAGCCTGCGCGTCCCTCCAAGCAGCAACCTTTGCCATGTGGAGCTCTACGAGCTTCCACCACGTCCATGGTTTATGACATCAATCCGCCGCCTTCGCGTCACCGAAGACCTGGCCGTCATACAGAGTTTCCACCTGTCCAAGCCAAGCCAATCCAACCGATCTACAGTCTACAACTTCCGACAGGACTGGGACCCAGGCAGGGATGACATCTGGTCCGAGATCAGGAATCAGGATCTGCACTGTGACCCCATCAGACTAAGCTGGCCAGAAGGCGGACCAATTTCAGCCTTGATGGAGACCGAGCCCTGGATGATGATGAAGATGTGATCCCTCAATCTGGCTCTGTTTTTCATAATGCTAGCACTGGGGTCACTAGTTCATGTCTCTAGGATCTGCACGCAGGATCGCCCTGCTGGAAGATCGGACCTGGGTGTAAAGGAGGGGGCCGGGACCCCTTGCTCAGCTATGGACTCTGGATGTTCAGTTGAGGCGGGTGCGGCCGCCAGAGATCTCCACAAGTTCGCCTGCTCGGAGCAATGCCACCGCCTTGTCTTCTGCCAGAGCTTGCCTGAAGCTGATGGGCTTGGGGCTTTTTTTGTGGAGACCCAACAACCCGATCTGCCAACAATCTCTGCTAAAGCTCAGCTCATGACATGCAAGGCCTGAGGTGGACGGAACATTGTTTCACTGACAAGAACTGTGTATTTCTCGAGCGTTCCCTACTAGAGAGTACTCAGCTGCGGGCAGGGTTCTCACTGCAGCGAAAGCACGCCGAGCAGCCTGACTCTACACATCTTCCTGCTTGCTGAGTGAGCTAACGCAGGACGCATCAAGAGAAAGCCTTTTTCTCAATCTGACTCTCCCGAGTGTCGATGACGTCATCCTCCTCACAACTAGGAGTTTTGACTGCTCCGTGGACTGGCATGGAGAAATGTCGACGCATCTGCCTGGGAGTCGTCAGAGCAGATGTCCTGGCCACCGTGTGCATGATGTGCATCTGTGCAAACTTCCATATCCAGTCTAGCTCCAAGTTGCTGTCAAGGAAATCGCAAATCCTGGAAATCTGCGCAGCGCAGCCTCGAAAGCAACAGCTGACGTGTCCTCTTCCACGTCAGACACGGCCTCACCAGCTCTCACCTGCGCAAGGAATGGACCGGCGGCCCCGATATCTCGGCTTTTCCTTGTCACGGCTCATGTCTTCGACCCTACAACCAGATTCCAACAAAGGATCCGTGAGAGTCCTGTGTTTCGCCCTTTTCGCAGACATTACAGAATTCGGAAAATGTCAACCATACCAAAACCTAAGACAAGTCCGGAGTTGATTTGTCAACATGGAGGTTTAGCACGGGCTGCATGGCCTTCGCCATGTCAGAATACGCTTTGCGCACTGCCTCGAGCTCCTGACATCGGAATGCGAAATAGCTTAAGTCGTCATGCCACGACATGCCACGTCCTTCAAGAGGCAACCAGAGGCCCACCCGATCAGATGAAGTGAAGCTTCTGGGTGAAGCAGCAACCGACTTCTCAATTCGAGGGCCTTTTATCGAGAAAGACCTTCGCACTGTTGTGAAATTGGTTTCTGCTGCCGTATGCCTATCCTGACATCCGAAAACATCAGCGAACATGGTACTAAGTACAGTTGCACTGTCTCCTCCGGATTCAAAGGCTGCCACCTCGCCTGTTTACAGTGGACGGCATCCGCACAGCTCTTGGCCAGAAGCAATTGCGAGCCGCGAGCATCCGCGAGCCTTCTTGCTTGAGATGGCTTGCTCAGAGTCTTCGCCTTACATCCACCAGCCTATGATATCCTATGTGCTTTGAGTCCAACTCGGCGAGTTGGTACAAGCTTGGGAGCCGGCTGTAGAGAAACCGCCGCCCCCACGGCGGAGTGACTTCCTGCAGCGCAAGCGCTTTTTACAGGTGGGCACCCAGTATACAGTATAAAGGCCACGGCATGAAAATCAACTCTAAATGACCTTTCTGAAACTGGTTACACAGAGTCCCTGGGAAAAGATCCGAGTCGAAATGCCCATGTGATACGTGAATCCAAACAGGGCCGGTCGCAGAAAGCCACGGGACGAGTTAGAAATTGCCTAGTGTCGATACCCAAACTGCCAAGAAAACCTTAGCACAGGGAAACTTAAACCCGACATAGCCCGACATGGGACACTCCAGTAAATTCCAAACCTGTGTTTTCAACTTCCTCTGACTCAAAGCCTGTTTTCCGATTCCGACCGAACTCTCACGGCACCCTGAGGACGTGCAATCACACCAGTCAGGCTCTTTTCAATCCTGATCTTGCGTGCTTTTGAGGCCCGGGCAGTGTCGTGGCTGCGCAGCGCAACCAATTCCTTGCGCATCTGAAACACCTGCATGGGTAAACGTTCGGATAGTCAGGTCAAGCATGGCATCGTGCTTGCATGACGGCATGCTTTCTGGATGGCGGTTCGCGGATGCACGTCAAAAGACACTGCTTCTAACGGTACACTGCTTCCACAGAGCCACACGGCCTCCATGCGGGTCAACCCCCTGTGTGCGGGAGAAAGCAGATTCGCCGAAAACGCTCGTTTCACGAGCTGGGCTGCGGGCTGTCGACCGACCACTGGTCGTCTCCTTTGCAAGAAGGTCTTTTCCCTCCAAGCCGACAGGCATCCGGAGCTCCTGGGTGATCTCCCAGAGCCAGAGGCAGAGCCCGAGTCGGGTCGTTTTC